TGCAGACGCAAAACAGGGAAGTCAGAGCCAAAGCTCCTCCGAAGCTGGAGACAAGCTGCGCGGATCCAGTCGATCAACACCGCAGTGACCTCACCCTTGCTGCGCAAGGGGAAGACCGTGGTGTAACGCGAGTAGTCGTCAACCACCAGCAGGAAGTAGCGCTCCTGACCCTGTCCACGGACGCGGGCTGGGCCCCACACATCCATGTGAAGCGTCTGCAACGGGGCCTCTGTCGGAGGAAACTGGGAGGAGTGAGGGGCAGCACGCTGGCGCCCCTCGACACAGGGGACACAGGTGGGGCCAGGGCCCGGAGGAAGGGGAGGGAGAGACCGGGGAAGACCAGACACAAGGACTCGCGAGGCCATGCCCCTGAGCCGAAGCAGAGAGGGGTGGCCAAGGCGGTGGTGCCAGAGGAGGGTCTCGTGAGACAGACGACGGCACGAGCAGGGGGCAGACTCAGGACCAGACCTGGACGCTGCAGCAAACACCTGACCAGACGAAGTGACCCTACTAGACTCAGCACCTGGAGGAGAAGCAGTGGTCAGAGTGTACAGGCTCGACCCTAGCCGACGTGTAAACGTAGCCAGGTGGCGACCTGTATCCGCCTCCGTGCAGTGGGTCACCCGCTGACGAGCAGGGGTGAACTGGTGGACACCCGCATCCTGGAGGAACAGCAGCACGGCTCCGCAGGCGGCTCGGGCGGCGCGGGCGGCTCGGGCGGCACGGGCGGCTCTGCGGCGGCTCGGGCGGCGGCTCGGCGGCGGCTCGGCGGCGGCTCGGCGGCGGCTCGGCGGCGGCTCGGCGGCGGCTCGGCTGCTGCTGGGCGGCGCGGGCGGCTCGGGCGTCACGGGCGGCTCGGCGGCGGCTCGGGCGGCTCGGCGGCGGCTCGGGCGGCGGCTCGGCGGCGGCTCGGCGGCGGCTCGGCGGCGGCTCGGCGACGGCTCGGCGGCGGCTCGGCGGCGGCTCAGGCGGCGGCGGCTGCTGCTGGGCGGATCGGCGGGGCCGCGTAGCAGAGTGGCGGCGGGGCCGCGACCGAAGAGAGCGGCGGGGCCGCGTAGCAGAGGGCGGAGGGGCCGCGTAGCAGAGGGCGGCGGGGCCGCGTAGCAGAGGGCGGCGGGGCCGCGACCGAAGAGAGCGGCGGGGCCGCGTAGCAGGGGGCGGCGGGGCCGCGGAGCAGAGGGCGGCGGGGCCGCGTAGCAGAGGGCGGCGGGGCCGCGATCGAAGGGCGGCGGGGCCGCGTAGCAGAGGGCGGCGGGGCCGCGTAGCAGAGGGCGGCGGGGCCGCGTAGCAGAGGGCGGCGGGGCCGCGTAGCAGAGGGCGGCGGGGCCGCGAGGCAGAGGGCGGCGGGGCCGCGTAGCCGAGGGCGGCGGGGCCGCGATCGAAGGGCGGTGGCGGGGCCGCGTAGCAGAGGGCGGCGGGGCCGCGATCGAAGGGCGGCGGGGCCGCTAGGGAAGGGCGGCGGAGCCGCGAGGGGAAGGGCGGCGCAACGGTCCGCTAGGGGCGACACGACGGGTCGCTAAAAAACGCGCCTCGGGGCGCGGTTCGGTGGGCCCTAGAAGCAGTCCCTAGGAGGGAACCTGCTCTGATTCCATGTGGAAACAAAGAACGAGAATGAAATGACTATGAACGAAGTGAGTACAAATAGGAAACCCTAATTGGGTTGTACCCCCTATGGGATACCCCACTATAGCCTACAGAAACAAGTAAGCTATAAGTTCTGACAGTTCTGATGCTGTTGATGCTTCTAGGGCTGCAAATGCTGCTGGTCGTGTCGCTGTTGCCGCTGCTGCTCCTACTGAAACCATCTCCCTAATTCGCCGACAGCAACAGACGAACCCGGCGCCGTCGGATCTTGTCTAGGAGGTCCATAGACAGCCGTCTGATCGTAACCCGCGTCTTGTTTACCACGATTTGCTTTTAGCCAATCTAGAGCAATCGGAAGGTAATATCGACGGTGGTGATCGCGCGGAGAGAGAGACACACCGCGTGAAAGGAGGAAATCCTTCAGCTTGCTGATCCGCATATCTCGTATCTCCTACTTTGAAACCGGCGGATCGCTTCCGTTCTCGGCCTGACGGCGCCGGTAAGCGTCAAATCCAGCGTCAGGGTGTCGAAAAGGGTCCATTTTTTCCGAGAATCCGGTCATGCCAGAACAACGTGTAGCGACGAACGACGAACCTAAATGTGACAATGGATCTTAGTAGCTACAACCCCTCGTGTCACACGTATGCAGAGGAACCTAACACGATAACTTTCTATTCGCGTCAGGTAACACCTTGTGTCAGAACTACGTACAAAGAAATCCCTACGAACAATGGAACTATTTTGCGTCAAACATCTCTGTCACGATACCTGAAATATATTTGTTCCAGTCCGTCCGTACAAACCAACCACACGAGACATTAACATTCGGTGCGGAACACCCTAGCTAAACTCTACCGACCAGGTTCCTGGTGTCAATGCAACGACGTTCACTAGGATAGTTCACTAGGCTGGGAAGCACTCGTGACTGGTTCCGAGTGACTGATCCAAATCCACACATGGCGAACATCGGGGTTGTCTTTTGATCAATAAGGAGGCGTAACGGAGACGAGAGGAGACAACAAAAAATAGGCGAGAAAAATGCCCCAGATGAGGATTAAATTCGGAACCTTTCGCTTACGAAGCGAACGCACTACCACTGTGCTACTGAGGCGCGTGGTCGAGCAAACAAAAAACGTTATTATTAATGTTCATGCTATCCTTGGGGAATTTGCATATGAAGCAGGCTTTGCATTGAAGGTGGAGGACAATGAACCCTCTTATGGAGGAAGTTTGAGTGCGACAACATGCATATCCGGATGTGGGCGGACAAGTGCAGGCTGGGGGACGGTCAGGCTGTTGGGCGAAGGGGGACAGCTGGGTAAAGGGTTGCAGCACAGCAGCAGCAGCGAGGTCGGGTCGGCGAGGGTTGGTGGGCGCAAGGGACGGCATGAAGGACAGGCCAGTAAGGGAGAGGAGAGGGGCCAGTAGGAGGGCCAGCGTCTGTAGGAGAGGCTTCAGGCCCAGGCAACGCTGCCTTTGGGTTCGGGGTCGGGCTCGGGGGTAGGGAGGGGGCGAGAGCAGATGACCTGAGATACGACTGCGGTGGAGTAGAGGGGTTGAAAAGGCAGGGTAAGGGGTTGATGGAGGTAGAGGGGATAGGATGAAGGGGGTGGGAGGTTTGGGGGAGTGGGAAATGGGAGGAGGGAATGGGCAGGTGGGTGGGAGGTAGGGCCTCAGATATCAGGAAAAAAACCCTAAAATTCCTGATTTTGGCAGTCCTTTTTTTACCTACCCTGAAAAGTCAGTGTTGAGATTTTTGAGGGACTGATCTTTCAACCTTTTTTGTTAGGCCACACTGAAATTTCATTTTTTTTTCCCCTATGACACTGATGCCACAACGTTGTAACAAAACCAACACTGAAGCGATTCTTACCTGTGCCATGTGGATTTGACTGCAATCACAGGGAATCTCAGATTCCCGAGGTGTAAGCACCCCGTGGCGAGGCCAACCTGTGAAATTCTGCCTCTGGTTCACGTTCAGAGGTGTTTTGTTGGCGCGACGCCTCACGCCATTGGGCCGATTCGCTGCAGCAGTCAGTCTTGGCCAATCCGAATGTGGCCACCATGAGGTGCTGGAGGGCTGCCAAGGATCCTGCCCCGTTGCCATCACATGCGACGCGTAAGTGACAGCCTTTTTACTAGTGCTACACTGATGCATCAGGCTTTTTACAAACGCAACACTGACATTTCAGGCTTTTTTTTTTTAACACTGTTAATCAGAGTTTACACACAGGGGGACTCTGATGGGTTGGCGACCCTAAAAGTGAATCTGAGGGCCTGGTGGGAGGGGGGATCAGAGGGCAGAGGCTATGAGTAAGGATGCACAGAGGGACAAGGCACAGCAACAGCCAGTACAGCAGCAAAGGTCGACCCGACCGGATGAACAAGCCGCATAGGGACACGCGCTCGCATTCTAGGCATGACTTGTCGTGATGCACTGCATAATATAATGATTCTAGTGGATTTCTCCCCATTACAGATTACGACAAAAAGGAAATGCTGTTCAGACAAATGGCCCCTAGACAGTGGCTAGGAGAGTACAAGAAAAGCTTCGGGATTAGGGACCGTGCTTAGAGAGGTACAGCCACCTCCACATTTCTATGCATGAATGGCGGAGACTTTTGAGCTACTCATTGAGCTATGGCAGCAGTATTTGGGACTGAGTGCACGGTAGATGGCACATTGGCGGAGGGGAGGGGGAGGTGGGACGACAAATTGGCACTCATATTTGAGCAGGACTCACCGCGCATCTCTTTATGGCACTGCAGTGCACGCAGGATGAGAGTATCACACAGCATAACTAAGAAATTTTTCCACATGTTCCACGGGAAATCCCTAGGGACCCAAGGCAAGAATATGCTTGCTAGCAATACCAACAGCACAAATATTGACCAAGGACGACTGCCCCAGCTGAGGATTGAACTCAGGACCTTTCGCTTACGAAGCGAACGCACTACCACTGTGCTACTGAGGCTGCTGTTTAAGAAGATCAAAATATTATTGACAGCAAATCACGTTTCTTAGTGCTTCGTCTTTCCTTCACATTGCCGTGCCGCCCAACTGGCGCTCCCGTTGTTGCGTCCCCATCACTCAACCAGACCGTCAGAATCCAAGGTCATAGGGACAGTCACTAGAAGCTTTGTCATCACCTCTAGAGCCTACCGAGGAGCTGACAGATCAGTCGCTTCTGTTGTGAATCTTGGAAGCCTGCAAGCTTTGCATCCGACAGGCGTGAGTGTGTTTAGCACTGTGCGTTACGAGTTGCTGTGTCACTTAGTCAGGCTTCTACGTCCTTTTTCGTTTCTAGAACGTGACAAACGATTTTATATTTTCTCACCATACCTTCGATCTAGCTAACCAAATTCTTCCTGGAGTCTTCTCGACTTTCGTCTCCGCTCCTCCGCCCGACAACTTCCATGGCGGACGGCTCCGAGATTCCATCGTCGTGTTTATTCGTCGCTTGCATCCCGCAGTCGCAGGTCAGCTTTTGCGTAGTCATCCTTGTTATATAACATCGTAGACTTGTTTGTAACGTACCGTGTGTGGATGTTGCAGGTGGGAATATTTGAGAGATGGGGAAGATTCACCCATGTCGCAGAGCCCGGGATGCACTGCTTCAATCCCCTCGCCGGGACTTGGTTGGCGGGAAAGCTGTCGCTCCGCGTGCAGCAGTTAGACGTGCGCTGCGAAACCAAAACGAAGGTAAAATGCACAAGTGTAGTTTTCATATCCTTGTCTTGTGCCTCCACTATAACATCTTGCGATTCCTGTAGGGTTCATCCAGGCCATCACATCCTTTACTTGCAAGACGAAGTTCGTGTGACCGTTGTGTGTTTAGTTCAGTAGCGGGTGATAAAGGACCATATATTGAATGGTTGTTCGGCACACATGCTTTCACATTGTTTAAATTCGTTGTCTTGCAGGACAATGTGTTTGTGACGGTGGTGTGTTCCGTCCAGTACCGGGTGATGAAGGACCATGCAGACGATGCATTCTACGAGCTCCAGAATCCGCGCGAGCAGATCCAGTCCTACGTCTTTGATGGTATGCAGCTGGGTAGCACAGAATTATGTGTGGTGAGGATTGCAAGGGCTCTGCTAGTTACGAATATCGTCTTTATTGTCTTGCTTTAAGCGTTTCCTTCTTTTGATGTGTTGTGCAAATGCTGACCCTGTTTGCGTGCGTGTGTGTGCCTGTGCATGTGATTGTGTGTGTTTATGTGCATATGTGTGCGTGTGTGTGTGGTGGGGGGATTGTGTGTGCGGATCCCACTACTACAGTGGTGCGAGCAAGTGTGCCTCGCATTGAGCTGGATCAAGTGTTTGAGCAGAAGAACGAGATCGCCAAGAGTGTGGAGGAGGAACTGGAAAAGGTAAACCTTATCCAGCAGGTTTAAAGGAGGGTGGATGACTGAGTGGGGTTGGTTGTCTCATGCATGAAACCTATTGTTTTAGTGGCACAGTGTCTTGTATCTCCTAATCTGGTTACCTCCCCTTTGTCACATGTTCGTTTGCTTACAAATTCCTGTTTCTAAGACTTTCTTACTACTCTTTCGATGCTCTGCGGCTGCTCTGCTGCTCCTTGTTGTTACAGGTGATGACAGCGTATGGCTACACCATTCAGCAGACTCTCATTGTGGACATTGAGCCTGACGCCACCGTGCGCAAAGCCATGAACGAAATCAACGCTGGTAAAGCCATAGCTCACTGCTCACTGACTTGCTTAAGTTTCTCTGTTTCATTTTGTGTGAGTCTGGCTGCAACTCTGTTTTTACTTCCTTTCCATAGCATGTTTTTTTTTGTGACAAATTTTGTTTCCCTCTTTACTGTGTTTCCCTTTCTCGGCCCAATGTGAGCAGCTCAGCGCATGCGCATGGCAGCGCAGGAGAAGGCAGAGGCTGAGAAGATTCTTCAAGTGAAGCGTGCCGAGGCTGATGCCGAGGCAAAGTACCTCTCTGGTGTTGGTGTGGCTCGGCAGAGGCAGGTTTGTACTGTATGAAAGCCGACCCGCCAATCTGCCTAGTTGTGCTGTTTTGTCATTGCTGCATACTGATCCATTCTGTCCTTCATTGTGACACCCACCCATGCAGGCAATCGTGGATGGGCTGAGAGAGAGCGTCCTCGCATTCTCACACGAAGTGGCAGGAACAACACCCAAGGACGTGTTGGATATGGTGCTTGTAACACAGTACTTTGACACAATGAAGGATATAGGAGCGTCGGCCAAGAGCAACACGGTGTTCATTCCCCATGCGCCTTCTCAGATTGCTGACATTTCTGCGCAGATTCGGAATGGGATGCTGCAAGGAAACATCAAGCAGGAATAAAAGCAGGGCATCAGATTCGTTTGAGGGTACCCTGTGGACTCAGGGCAGTTTTTAAGAAACCCTATTTTGTCCTGAAATGTCAGGACTGTGCAAGGATGGGTTTGCTGTAGGGTCAGTGCTACAAATGACATTATCCTGACCCGTCAGTGCTACATTTCATTTTATCCTGTGCACGACGGTAAAGGCTGTATTTGTTCTAATTAAGAGCCACTTTGGAAACTTTTGTAATAGACATGCATTTCAACATTCATCGTCCTCCTCCTCCTCCAGAAAATCTTGAAAAGCATCATTATCATTGTCTCCCCCACTGTCTGCATCCCCCCCATCCTCTGCGTGGTGGTCACGCTTCTCTGCAAGTGACCCCCAGAACCCAGTGGCACTCCTCTTCGATACATTCACCGTGGCTGCCTTGCGCTTGGTGGGTCGCCTCTTTTTGGTGCTGCGCCACAATGCCACAACTTCACTCCACTCCATGTCGTACTCCAGTAGACTCAGCGTCATGAGGTCGCCCAGCTTCGCATCGCACAAGCTGGTCCGCTGCCAGCTCTTGATGACATTCTGGCGCGAGAATACGCGCTCGCACTCCACCGTGCTGAGCGGCAACACTGCCACAGCCGCCCACAGCCGCACCAGGTTCGGATAGGTCCGCTGCCAGTCTGCAGTTGACAGGATCGCCCGTAACCCCGCATGGAAGGGTTGCTCCTCCTTTGGCGCCCCGGACAGCACAGACAAAAACGTGCGCATCTCCTTCCGCACTTCACGCTTGTTCACACCTGTATGATGGGATGATAAGGGAACATACAAGCGCAACATCAACAATCGCGCTTCTAAGGGGTATAAGATACACAGCGATGTTTGTGGGCGAACAAAACAGTTATCTCACCAGGCAGTTTATCATCTCTGACGCGAGCACATCACCGCCAGCTTCTCCATGTGTTCTTTGCACTCCGCGTCTCTCGCCTCTTTCCCACGCGGCCAGGTTCTTGGCATGAAGAGCTTTGCGGCGTTGAGATTTGTCAGGTCGCCAAGCCGAAAGTCGAGGTTGTAAAACAGCTCAGTCGCAAACAAGCGACACGTTCGAATGCAGGACTGGATGTCACCAGCGCTCGCCAAGTACCCGGGAATCGACTCCTCGTGCAGGGTGAACTCATGCTCCCTTGCCTCCCCGTCGGCGTCCACTCCCTGCACAGTCACTTCCCTGCTGCATGGTGCACTGTGGCGAACAAGGAACAGCGACAGTAGAGTGCTCGCCCCTGCACCGAACTGTTGCCCACAGTCGATGTAGCGCTCTCTGATGAAGAATTCTGTATGCCTCAGCTGGGAGTGGACCCCCGTCAAGTCAACCTGTGGTCGGGTTTTGGATCAGGGAGGGCACAGTAGTGAAACACATCCGTGAGCATCAAACACCTATCAAGTGGATAGTGCTACAAAGCAGACAACGGTACCTCGCGCCTCTGGAAGAGCAGGTTGAGCGAGTTCAGCTCTACGTGTACATCCGCCAGGAAGTACACAAAGAAGTGGAACTTCAGGCTGGTGACCATGTGGTAACAGGTTGAGTCCAGCTGCTCCAGAAGGACAATCATTGCCGACAGCACCTTCACGAACCGGGCTATCGCGTCACCGCGGCTTAGCCACCGTACGGCGTGGATCCCTTGCATTTCCAGGTTCGTCCGGGTGAAGACGGCCTGGAGCTCCTTGAATGCAGCGTTCGAGGTGCTGCTGCGGCCGAGATGCTCCGCCAAAGCACGGATGAGAGTGTCAACCATGGCGAGCTCTGGGAGCGCTTCTGCAGAATCTTTCGCGGCAAGTGCCTCCCTGTAAAGAAAAAGCCACAGACACAGCGTCAGGCAGTCAGTTGGTAAAACAGCGGCAGATGTTGGATCTGGGATGCAGAGGCACCCACCTGTGGGCGATGCAGTGGCACGAGACCACATGAGGGATGCAGAGCCGAAGTCGCCCGGTCAGTCCGTTGGTTCCGCCGAGCATGACTGGAGCGCCATCGGTGCTAATCCCGACGATCTTAGCAAGGGGGAGGTTGATGCTGTCAAGGTAACCGACGAGCACTGCATACAGGGATCCTGCATCGCATTTGTCAACTGTCAATAGTGTGAGAAACTCAGTGGTAACCTCGTTTTCATGCAAAAAAATGATGAAGACGATCATATGCTTCCCCCGCACGCGGTCAGTACTCTCATCACAGCTCAAGCCAATGAATGGGCTCGAGTCTATGAACTCCCGCTGCTTCGCACGAAGATAGCTCGCTGTCGCGGACACTAGTTCTGCGAAACCATACCTGCGAACACACGGTTAGGGAACATAGTGTTAGTATATAGTAGATCATGTGTTACGTGAAAGATATGAACAGCATATTACTTACGTTGTGTAATACGCGCCGTAGCCATTCTTCGGGAAGCCCGGAGTCCCACGGGAAGCAAGGTGCCGGACGAGTTGCACCCACATCTCTATGGGTGCGTCGGTCTTGGTGATGAACAGCATGGTGTCCAGCAGCGACTCCACAACGTCGTGCTCCACGTCACGGGCTGTCGGGCAGTCTGGGATGCGATGCTGTCCGGCAGCTTTGGCCAAAGCCAGCTCCTGATTGCGGATGGCTTCTCTGTGCTTCGTGGTCCTTTGATGACGTTGCATGGCCTGAGTCTGCACATCCAGGGCCCCCTCGCCTTTCTCGAAGTTGGTTCCTGTTCCTCCATAATCCATACACACTGTACATTTCATGGAGGGGAAACCAAATTTAGTTTGACAAATAGTAAGCCAAGGGAAGTCCTCGTTCCACCGTCGTTTAAACATGAGCAAAGCTTCTTGATACTTCTCCTCGGCAACGTCGGGAATCTCGGTATCAGAAGAAGCAGTGGCGGCGGTTTCAACAAGGACAGTAGGTTCGGTGGTCGGTTCATGATGTTGCCTGGTGACGGAAATGACAGCGGTGGTGTCAGATGTACAGACAAACGAGAGCTTTGTCTGTTGATACCGTTGCGCGGAGAGTTTTTGGCTCGGTGGTCCTTTGCGGGTCGTCCCAACCGCCTTAGAGCACTCCCCTTGCGTGCGAATCGGCGGTGGCACGGGGACGTTGTCAACCACGACTGGTGCAGTTGTCACGGGAGAAGGCACGGGTGGGTGGGACGGCGACGGGAGGGGATCAACTGCGGCAGCGGCAGCGGCAGCGGAATCAGCTAGTGTTGGTTTCGGCGGTGGTGGAGGCTGAACAGGCCTACTACGCAATAAATCCAGGCCCGTCAACCCTACGGTCGGGCAGGGCGGCTAGGTATGGCGGGGGCTTCACCATCGCCCGCCGGCGATGGGTCAGCCATGGACGGTAATTTGCGGCAAAAATAACGAGACATACGGCGTCGAGCAGCTAGGCAAGTTACGGGGAAAAACAAAGATTGTTGGCGTTCTGGCTGGGGTTTGGTTGAGAGACGAGAACAGGCTGGAGGGGATGGAGGAAGAGACAGAACAAAACATCACAATCTTCCCAACCCCAGACACATGGCGCGTCGACCACAGGAGTCGCGGCCTATGCGCTGGCATAAGCATCTTGCAAAGTTGGATAAGGGACAAGTTTCATGGCTAGGTGGGAAGCACGTGCCACCAGCATCTTGCATTGTTGGCCGTGTTTTTCAAGCGTGTTAAGTCAGCGGCGCACTGTGATTGGAAGATGTTACAACATTACTGTGGTTCCAGGCTGGGCGCGGTGTGGTGTTGCGCCACCCAGGCAAAAATAAACAGTGCGACAGTCACGGAGCGTAATTTACGCTGTACCAGATCGGTGGTTGGGTACACTAGGCCCGGGGAAAATGCACTATTCGCGTCAAGACGAGTCTCGACACTATCCTGACTCATCAGGGCTGTACCTACAGCGCTATCATGAGGGCCCAGTATGAAAAATTACCATTATACTGATATCACAGGACAGACATTTGCATTAAACACCTATCCCGAATTCAGGAGAATCAGGATAAATTATCCTGATAACGTAGGCCCTGAATAAAAGGTTAGGGTCTTGGTGTGCAGTGCAGTGTGCGCAGTAAGAAAAATCACAATTATATAGGATGTGTGTGGTTCCAGCCAGTATTTCATATCTAGTAACAGGTCAGTGCATCTCATTCATTCATGTAGAAAATATTCATTTGCACTATTGAGTTGAAATACGCACTACATGGTGGGGATAGAATGACTTGTTGAATGAGTTGAAATACGCACTACAAGGTGTGCAAGCAGGCTTATAAGACTATGAAGACGCTCAACTACATGGAAGTATAATGGATGTGTGGTGAAGTCTATTCTCTAAGGACGCGTCCCCTCCAGCTCGATCGTGCAAAAACCGATCTTTGACCGCGTCAAAAACCCGCGTATTGCATTCAAAACTTCTAGACGTTTTTTGAACCACGTGAAAAATCGATCCTACGTAGGATCGGTCGCAGGATTGGCGTTCAGGTGACGCGTCCTAATTGCACTCGCTAACAGAGGGAAAGGAACCCTTGCAATTCCGGTTTGTTCGGCTACCTTTCCGGACTGTCACCCGCAGAGCAGTGCCCTGACACTGGGGTGTGCCTTCTCGCGCGTCCGAGTTTTTGTCTCACTTTCTCACATCAGTTGCTGTGGTCCGACCAGGGCTGGTCGGAGCAGAGAGCGAACAGAAAAGGGCCCTGGTCGGACCACAGCAACTGATGTGAGAAAGGGTCCGACCAGGGCCCTTTTCTGAGAAAAGAGACCTTTTCCTGCAGCATGCAGGCGTTGCGTCCAGGGTCTTGGCTACTTCGCTTCACCTGCCTGCTTCGCGTCGCAAGACCCTAGTTCCGTCCCCATCACTCTACCTAGCCATGCAGAGGCCAGGGATGCATGGCCCTACCGTCGCGTCAGTGCGCTTTGGGAGGCGACTCGGGAGCGGCTCGTATCGTGAATCTCAGAAGCTTGCACGGTTCTTACCTGGTACTACTAGTAGTAGTGACTGCCTTCGCATCACACAAAGGGGGCCTGTTTCTTAGCCAGGCTTCCACGTCTCGTTTTCCTTCTAATTCCGCTAGTAGTACGTGACACATCGTTCCTTGCGCTCACATATCTCGAGTCTAGCTAACCGATTTCCTGCTGGATCCCTCTCGGCTTTCGTCTCCGCTCCTCCGCCCGTCAACTTCCATGGCGGACGGGAGCAGCTCTGAGCTTCCATCGTCGTGTGGCTTCTTCGCTTGCATCCCGCAGTCGCAGGTTAGCTCCTGCTCGTTCACCCTCATTATAGCGTACCTCGTTATCGATGCACATTAGAAAAATACGGTATTAGCGACATATTATGTATATGTTTTCGTGTGTGCATGTTGCAGGTGGGAATATTCGAGAGATGGGGAAAATTCTCCCACGTCGCAGATCCCGGACTGCACTGTTTCAATCCTTTCCTTGGGACTTGGATGGCGGGAAAACTGTCGCTCCGCGTGCAACAGCTAGACGTGCGATGCGAAACCAAAACGAAGGTGAATTGTCTGTATTTCCCTCGTTGTCATGCTCTTCTCGCCGCCTCGTTCGTGACGTTGATATGTTCAGTCCCGAATGATGAAGGCGAATTTTAATTGCTGTTCTGTAAACGATTCTTTTACATCCTACTTCTTGCAGGACAATGTGTTTGTGACGGTGGTGTGTTCCGTCCAGTACCGGGTGATGAAGGACCATGCAGACGATGCGTTCTACGAGCTCCAGAATCCTCGCGAGCAGATTCAGTCCTACGTCTTTGATGGTATGCAGTGTAACAAGGGGATTACAAGGGGATTGTGTTGCTGGTCTTGATTTCAGTCTTTGATGTCTTGCACTCTGGGTTTCCATAGACGTTTCACAGTGGACGGTTGTGCAATAGCTGACCCTGTGTACGTGTCTTGGTGTGGGCATGTGCATGTGTATATGTGTGCGTGCCGCATGCATACGTGCTTGCGTGCGTGTGTGGTGGTGGGGGGGGTGGAGTGGGTGTGGGCATCCCACTACAGTGGTGCGAGCCAGTGTTCCCCGCATAGAGCTGGATGAAGTGTTTGAACAGAAGAACGAGATTGCCAAGAATGTGGAGGACGAGCTTGAAAAGGTAATATCAATGCATGAGGTTTCAAGGAGTGTAGATTGCTGGGTGGGGTTGGTTACCTCCTGCATGAAGCCTACTGTCCTACTGGCCAAGTGTCTTGTACCGTATCTTCTACTTGGTTACCTCCCGTTGTCACAAGCTGTGTTTTGAGTCGACTTAGAACACTCCTGTTTGAGTCGACGCAAAACAAGACTTGTACGGTATCTTCTACTTGGTTACCTCTGCTCTACTCGGTTACCTCTGCTTTGTCTCAAGCTCCTTTGTGTACAAGTTTGCGTGCGCGCTGACAATTCCCCTCGCTGACAAGTACCCTGTTCCTAAAATTATTTCTGCTGCTCTCTGCTTCTAAACTTTCCTATGCCTGTTGTTACAGGTGATGACAGCGTATGGCTACACCATTCAGCAAACCCTCATCGTGGACATTGAGCCTGATGCCACCGTGCGCAGAGCCATGAATGAAATCAATGCTGGTAAAGCCATAGCTCTCTGCTCACTGATCTGCTAAAGTTTGTTTCCTGTCATGTTAGGCTGGCTGCACCTTTGTTCTGACTTCCTTTTCACAACAATCTCAGCTTTTTTCGAGGTTGATTTCGTTCTCTCACCTTATTCTGTTTCCTTTCTGTGCTGCCCAAACGTGAGCAGCTCAGCGCATGCGCATGGCAGCACAGGAGAAGGCAGAGGCCGAGAAGATCCTTCAAGTGAAGCGTGCCGAAGCTGAAGCCGAGGCAAAGTACCTCTCGGGTGTTGGTGTGGCTCGGCAGAGGCAGGTGCGTCCTCAAAAGCCAACCTGCTGCGTACCTTTAAAAGCCAACCTTTTACATACTTTGCTATGCCAACCTGCTGTGCTCGTTTATGAGCCGACCCGCCACCTGCACTGCTCTTTTTGCTACTTGTCATTCTGGCATACTGAGCTACTTCTTGGTTCCGACAATTTGCAAATTAGTACCACTTTTTCCTTTCCTCACGCACTTTTGCATTCCCTACATCTTCCTGCATCCTTCGCCACCTGTGCCGCTCACCTGTGCAGGCAATTGTGGACGGGCTGAGAGAGAGCGTCCTCGCATTCTCACATGAAGTGGCAGGAACAACACCCAAGGATGTGTTGGATATGGTGCTTGTAACGCAGTACTTTGACACAATGAAGGATATAGGCGCGTCAGCCAAGAGCAACACGGTGTTCATTCCACATGCGCCGTCTCAGATTGCTGACATTTCTGCCCAGATTCGGAATGGGATGCTGCAAGGAAACATTAAGCAGGAATAGAAGGTTAGGATCGGCGTCTGTAGTGTGTGTGCAAGAAGCAAATGCATGTCATATGAGATGTGTACGTACAGTTTGTTGGGCTGAGATAGCCCCTTAGGATCTTTGCAAGGGATAACTCTAGGTGAAGTAGTTGTAATAGCGGAAGCGTTTAGTGAAGAATTTGAACCGACCTTGCACTGGTGTGTGAGAGCAAAGTTGATTGAATTAAACAAGCAAATACAAGGATTTATATAAGAGTACAGGGAATAGATAGATAACTGTATTGCTGTTGCGGTTCGATATAGCGCGACTCGGGCAACTGCTCTGTAACGAGTCAGTTGTGTGTCCTTAACTGTCGCGCTGTAATTGTCGAGTCAAAGGTCAGCGACCTTTGACTTTCTCGTAACCTCCAGGCGGTTACCCTAACCTCCGAGGTTGACTCGATGCTTCGATTGGGACTGCTTCGCTTGGTACCTTGGATTTTGATACGACAGAAGCGCACTTAGGACTTATTGTTTCCAACACTCCCCTTCGCTTCTGGAGTGTTACTGCTGGTGACGTGGCCTTGTCCAGTCAGCATCATGCAGTATTCGAACTTCTGCTTGCCGAGTTTCTTGGTCAAGTAATCGGCTGCCATCTCGGATGTTGGACAGTATGACAGATCGAGTTTCCCTTTTTCTATCTCGTCCTTCACGAAGAAATAGCGCAGGGCGATGTGTTTCGTCCTGTTTGCGAAGCCGTTTTTGTTGGCGATGCGAATTGCTGACTGGTTGTCGCAGAACACGGTGAAGCTGGGTAACTCGGCTAGCTTCGCTTCTTCCAGTAGTTCGCGAAGGTAAAGTCCCTCCTTGGTGGCTGAGCAGAGTGCAATATATTATGCTTCTGCTGAAGATAGTGCGATTAACTCCTGCTTGCTCGACTGCCAGGAGATAGGACCGATAGGCTCAAGGCGGTAGACATAGCCGGTGCGTGAGCGCCTGTTGTCGGTGTCGCCGGCGTGATCGGCGTCGACGTAGCCGATTAGCTTAGTCGGTGTAGCTGCGCTCTTGTGGTAGGTTAGCCCGATCGTCGCGGTGCTGACGAAGTAGTGGAGAGCGCGATCAAGTTCCGCCAGGTGTTCAGCTTCAGGCTTCTTGAGATAGGTGGCGAGCTGACTTGCGGAGTAGGATAAGTCAGGACGGCAGGTGACGGCGGCGAATAGCAGGCATCCGAGCTTCTTCTGATAGTCGCGTATGCCGGCGGGCTTGAGTAGAGTAGTTCGTTCCTTCTCGGTTCCTGATGTGTAGCGGTAAGGCGTGGAGATGGCGCTTGGTGTGAGGCTGAAGCGTTTCGCGATGGTGTCGGCGTATTTCTCGGCGCTTAGATAGATGGTGTTTTCTTCTTCGCGGATGTTGAGCCCGAGGTACTGTGTAACGGTGGAGGAGACCGTGAGCGTGAGGTCTTTCTGGAGCTCTCCTTCGAACCACGTGGCGATGCCGTCGGTTGACCCAATGTAGAGGAGATCGTCCACGTAGACGATCAGGAGAACGTAGTCGCTTCCCTTAGTGAGGCGGTACATGCCTTGGTCGTGAGGTAGTTGACTAAAGCCGATGCGGATGAGACGGGCGTGCAGGTACTGCTGCCACAGTCGCGGTGCCTGCTTGATCCCGTAGAGCGACTTAAGTAGTTGACAGATTCGGTTGGGTTCGCCGTGGGAACCGTGCGGGAGCTCGACGTAGATTTCTGCATCCACAGGTGCGTAGAGGAAGGCATTCGCGACGTCGATCTGCCGTAACTTCTTCTTCTTCATGGCGGCAATGGCGAGGAGAATTCGGAGTGACGTGTGGCGGCTGACTGGAGCAAAGGTCTCGGTGAAGTCTCGTCCTTGCTCTTGGTCGAATCCACGTACGACCCAGCGTGCTTTGAATTTTTCGATCGTGCCGTCTGCTTTCGTCTTGATGCGGAAGACCCATTTCCCGGTAAGGATGGTTTTGTTCCGTGCCACGCTTACGGGAACAACCTTCCAAGTGTTGCGTTCCTCTAATGCCTTCAGTTCTCTATCCATGGCTTCACGCCATTTCTCCCTGTGTTCCCCCCCCAGAGCCTGCTGAACCGTTGCAGGCTCCTTAGGAAGCGAGCTGCGTGTGTTCTCGTGGACTGCGGTGACGAGGCCGAGGATTTGCAGCCCAGTCTGTGAGTATCGAGGGAGTTCTGGATCCTCGGGATAAGCTGCTTCGTCTCCCGCTTCTGGATCAGGGATGAAATTCGGTCCTATCCTTTCTGCTTCATTTGTGTTGACGGTTGCAGGTGTTACGTAACCGGTGTCGGCGAAGTGGTAGAAGACTTCGGCGTTGTTACTGTCGCGAGGATTTTCTTCGTCCATGGGCACGTTGACGGAGCAGTACGGGAGAGGTCCGGCTTCTGCCGATGCGTTGTCAACATTCTGCTCGTCCCAGTCTGCTTCATCCGCTGCTGACGCGAAGGCTCGGTCACCACGAAAACCACTGGTGAGGTCCCGATTCTCGTGCAAGTTGGCGAGGTACGTCTGAAGGGTGAGTCTTTCGTAGAAGATCACGTCACGTGCTGCTACTGTTTCCTTTGTGTGGACGTCGAAGATTCTCCATGCGTTGTAATTTTTCTCGATGCCGAGGTGTAGTCCCCACTGTGCCCGTTGCGAAAATCTTCCCGCTCGTGCTTCTGGGGGTCTGTACTGTACCATGCACCCGAAAACTCGTAACATTTTCGTGCTGCCTTGCTTCCCTGTCCACAGCAGATGCGGTGATGCGTTGTTCGGGAGTGACGACGACGACAACAAGTTGTGTAGCATGACAGCGTGGTCCATTGCTGCTGGCCACTGGTGGTTGGGTAGCCGCATGCCACGTAACAGTTTGCGCATGCTGTTCTGCAGGGTCCTGTTCAGTCGTTCTGCAACACCTTGCTGCTGATGTGCGTAGGGAAGGGAGAGGAGTTGCTTGATCCCCCTTTCCGCCAAGAACTGCTTGAAGCGGTGAGAGGTGTACTCGCCACCTCCGTCTGACTGGAAATTTTTCAGTTGTGTTCCAGACTCTCTCTCTGCTATCGGTAGCCAGGCGGCGAATGCTGCGAGCGCCATGTCGCGGCTGGGTAGGTTGCGATGCCAGACGTATCGAGTGGCGGCGTCGATGAAGGTGATGGTGTAGTTGTAGTTGACTTGTCCTGGTTCGCGATTGTAGAGGATGTCGCTGTAGACTTTTTCGAGTGGTGCGTACGCTGGAGCGCTCGGGTTGTGATGTGAAGCAAACGGTCGATGAGGTAAGTCAGCTTCGGGACATATAAGGCAAGTCCCTCGTGCCTTCTGGAGTTCTCTACCATCGGGTAGAAGTAGAGAATCTTTGTCAAGAACTCCTGCTCTTATCGTGTTATTCAAAACCGTGTTGCTTGGATGTCCTGTTCGTGCGTGCCAGATCTCTTCAGAGGCGCGGTGTCCAGGTGAACGCTGATATGCGTCGGAGTTGGAGTAAAAGTTGGCGACGAGGTTGGCGCTTCGGTGGACTTCACGTTGAGTCGGATTCAGCTGTTGCGCGGGTGTTGGTGGTGCTTCGTCGACTGTGACTGGTGTCGTTGTTCCTGCTGCTGCTGATGTTGTTGCTGCTGCCGATGTTGTTGCTGCTGCCGATGTTGTTACTGCTGCTGATGTTGTTGCTGCTGCCGATGTTGTTACTGCTGCCGATGTTGTTGCTGCTGCTGCCGATTGTCGAATTGTTGCTAATGCTCGTGTTCGTTCTGCTTCAGGAATGGTGTGCGAGTACCAGAAGCCTCCTGGGCTGAAGTCGGGGTCGAGATCCGGAGGGTGTGTCCAGTCAGTGAAATTCACGATGGCGTCGCTGTCTGCAGTGCCCAGGTCAGGAACGAAGTCGAGGACGAAGACGTTGTTCTTCAGCACTGCTTTCCCGATGTAGAGACCGCCTCTCCCGTGGTAAAGTTTGAACTCCTGGGTCGTGCTGTCGGCTTCCAGATGAATTCCTTTCGCCATCAACTGGCTAACGCTCAGTAAGTTGTAGCCGAGTCCTTCAGCGATGAGTACCTTAGACATGTGCAGTATGACATTTGTTTCTCTTGACTGAAGCTGTACCACTCCTTGTCTTCGTGTGCGCAGGTTTTGGTTGTTGGCAACCGTGATGATCACTTCCCGTTGGAGTCGATGTTCGCGTTGTACGAAACGCCCGGACGAGCACATGTGTTGCCCGCAGCAACTGTCCAAGAACCAGGTGTCTTGGCTGGACGGTTCACTTTGAGCGATGGCGGCGTACGTTGGATTCGGCTGGAGTAGCTCACGGCGAGGTGTTCTGTTGTCAAGCTCTTCTTCCGGTGAGTAGTGTGGTGGTGATTCGGTTGTACACGAATCGGTTATCTTCGTCATGCAGTTGATTATATTTCTTGCTCCTTGTGCAGGTTGTCCGGGTGAAGTCGTTGAAGCTTGAATAGTGGTCGTCGCACTTGCTTGTGTTGAAGCCATTTGGGAGCTTGAAGGTCGAAGTTGTCGCTGTGGTGCCGTTGATTGCTGACGATTCGGGCAGTGTGTGCGCGGGTGCCCTGAAGTCTTGCAGATGTGGCAGAAGGGAGGTACTATCTTCGGTTGCTGCTGTCGGTTGTTATAATTGTTGTGTCGTCGTTGAGTGTGGAATGCGAACTCTGATACTGTCGTTTTCTTCTTGTGTCGTTCTTCCTGCAGGTCCATATCTTGCTGCTCGGCATGTATTTCGGCGCAGAGTGCAGCTTCAGAGATTCTTCCGTGGGCTCGAAGAATGGCTTTGGTGGCGCGCCACTGAGGACCAAGCCCACCAATGATGACTGTCACGAAGGCGTCTTCAGAGATTGACCCTCCGCATCGAAGCAGCTTGTCGCGCAGTTCGCGACATCGGCTGATATACGCCAGTCCTTTTTCTCCTGGTTTCATTTCGACTGTCGTCAACTGCGCCATTAACGTGCTCTGGTTTACACTGTCTGTTGCTTGATACAGGTTCTTCAGATGGCTGTACGCGAGCTCCGCCGAGTTGCCGAAGGTCCGGTAAGAGCGAATGTTCTGCTGCTGAGTTGGTGTCACGTTCCTCAATAGGATTGTATACGCCATCATTGATTGATACGTATACTGCTGCTTTTCATATTGTGTCCCGTTGGCTGGATACTACAGGGACCCGTCGAAGAAGCCGAGTATCTGCGCGCCCTCCATCATCAGCTCGAATTCAAAGGACCAGGTAAAGAAGTCTTTGCCGTCGAAGGGTCTTGACGTTTGCAGTTTTAAGACGTGTGCAAACTGCGACTGAACTTGAAGTGCGTCCAGTGGTCTTTCTTGTCCAGGTGAAGGTTGCGGGTGGGGCACGAAGCTGATTGACCCGCGCTCGTACGGAGCAAAGGTAGGTTGCTGCTGCTGGTTTCCTCGCGCATATGACGACCCATCAAGACTCATGGGTGTCGCTCCGTTGTTGCTGTTGTGTGTTTGTGCAGGTCCCGACTGCTGGTGTTGTTCGTAGAAGGACATGAAGGAGAAAAATTTCTCCATCATGTTCTGGTCAAAGTCCGAAGGGTGGTTCATGGGGGTCTCGGTTGACGTTCCTCTTGGTCTTGTTGCCGTGCCTTCTTCTGTCTGCAGGCCAGAGGCTGGCGGTGGAGTAGGAGTAGTGCCCGAGGAGCCATTAGGGGAGCTCCTTTCCTTGTTTGTTGCCATGTCTTGTAATGATCTTGAAAAAAGAGTAGAGTTTCCCTTGTCTGCTCTCATACCATGTTGGGCTGAGATAGCCCCTTAGGATCTTTGCAAGGGATAACTCTAGGTGAAGTAGTTGTACTAGCGGAAGCGTTTAGTGAAGAATTTGAACCGACCTTGCACTGGTGTGTGAGAGCAAAGTTGATTGAATTAAACAAGCAAATACAAGGATTTATATAAGAGTACAGGGAATAGATAGATAACTGTATTGCTGTTGCGGTTCGATATAGCGCGACTCGGGCAACTGCTCTGTAACGAGTCAGTTGTGTGTCCTTAACTGTCGCGCTGTAATTGTCGAGTCAAAGGTCAGCGACCTTTGAATTTCTCGTAACCTCCAGGCGGTTACCCTAACCTCCGAGGTTGACTCGATGCTTCGATTGGGACTGCTTCGCTTGGTACCTTGGATTTTGATACGACAGAAGCGCACTTAGGACTTATTGTTTCCAACACAGTTCCAGTACTACCATACCTCTCTGTTAATGAAGAGAGCATCGCCTTCATGTATTAAATGGTGGGGGTTGGGTTGGGATGGGATGGTTGGGTTGAGTTTGACAATCAAGGTCACACAGTTGCTGTCCCAACTGGTAAATGAAATTAACTGCTGAGTGGAACAAATCAAATGCTAGTGAAGTTAGTTTACTATTCTGAGGTGTGCCATGAAGATTCGTTTGGACGTAGTTGCTTTTGAGGAGATGGGTGAACTCATCAACTGATAGATGTAACGTTGAGCATTCCAGGACACGTGGGTTCTCTTGACTGGATGTTGCTTTCTTACGTTTTTTTCGTTGGCATGGGAGTGAGCTGGTGGCGTCAAACCTGGTCATCAAGGTTGTTGAGTCACACAGCTCAGCTGTTATCGCGAGTGTGATATTTTACTGCTCAATCTCCGCCACAGAATGAGGTTCCGATATTTGTTTTCTACCACGCTGAAGCCACTTTGTCCGTGGACCCTGGAGATTCACTCTACGAAATGCTTGTGGGAATGTCAAGCGCGCCTATCAGCGTGAGTGAGACTGGACAGGTGGCAGCACTTACCAGTGGCGCCTTGAGAGGGTCATCATTTTCTCGTGCTTCTGGACATGAAGACTCGGGAATACTTTTGTGATTTTTTTTACTCCTGGCATACGTCACCTTCGATTCCGAAATCTCACATTTTGCATCTTCCACAAGTTTTTTGGGGCTGAATTGCCTCCTTAGGCCTGACAGCTGATTCCACGCAGGCAAATGATACTACTTCATCGTGTGGATCTTGAATGGCTCCCCCAATAACAAGAGATCATGATTATGCTGTTCAGACGACGCGTCAGCGTCACATTCGGCAGCCTCACAGGTGGCTGCTCAATGCTCCCCTCCCTCTCCATGGATCTCACCCCGGAATGAATTCGTGGCCACATTTCTGGGTTCTCTATTCCATTATGGTCAGCAAACTGTATATTTCCCAGAATTTTAGCGATTCTACCAAGTGGGATGCCCATTTTTAGTGCAACAAACCCATCGTTTTTCTCACACTCTGGGAAGCAAGCACTTGTTCGTTTCAACAAGATGCTCATAAATTCAAACAGCAGCCTGACCACTGTGCGGATGGTGCGAACTACTCACATCCACGAACAAGATGCTGCTGAGGGGAACACAGTGCCCTGCCCACGCACACAGATGGGGGTGATGACGATTTGCTCCCCAACCAGCAGCAACCCTTGCAGCTGAATCCTTTTCATCCATGCGACTTGCTGATGTGGCTGCTTCCTGCCCCCTAAAGCCAGCCACAAGAGGAGGACGAAGGGTCAAGGTTGTGGATGGGAACCTGTTGTTTGAGGGCAGAACAGAACAGAACAGAAAGAGTGTCGCCGTAGTCACGCGAATGCATTTCGTCACATTTTCCATTGTGATCCGGCAGCAAAATGCGTTACAGCATGTGGCGAATTCAGGCCGTGAATCGAGCTGGAAGGGAACCTTGAAATCTACGAGTGTTTTCTTGTTTGCAGTGGAACTTCAAGTGCGTTGTGTTCGCTGCCCTGCGTCACGTGCGACCGCATGAGAGCTCCTTCGTCATGTGGCCATAGTCCGCTCTTGCCTCCATTCTCTGTACACCGTGGCAACTGACGTAGAACCGACCAACCATAAACGAGAATGACTCGCGGCGTGCCTGTACCGCCTAGCCTGTCCCATTTCGTGCCTTGATATTCCCAGACATTTCAAGCCGCTCGTATCCATCGTTCCTGCCCCCCAATCAGGCAGCGCGACGCGTTGCCTGGGTCGCCAAAACCATAAAAATCGGGGGTTGGGTTTCGGTGAAACAAGACCTGGCACGGGACGGAACACGACGACCACAGATATTTCCCAGCGATGACCTGCTGCGAGGTCCTGTGAATCTTGCCTGCATTTGCCTAACTTGTGTTTTCTTAGGTATTTGTTGCCCATTGCCCAGCGCCCACGCTTCACATTCCTGCCCCCTGCCTGAACACACACACACACATACTGTTCGGTAGCCCTCCACTCCTCCATAGAACGCCTGCCCCGCATCCAATCCTTCGCTCAGCCGCAGACTCGCAACGAACCATCAACGCCACGCCACGCCACCCTTCCCTGTTCCACAATTTCCGTCTTTCACTCGCCATCCTCTCGGCACCTGCGTTACTACTCACCTCAACCTCCTTGTCTCAGCACATTTAGATTAAAGGCCGCTGTTTCATATTTCTCACCGTTCCAGAAGTCTCGTCCTTCGACGCATCCTCTAATTCCAGAAACTCTTGATCTGCTGTCAACCACAGGATTACCTGTGCCACCGCTAGACTCGTACTACATCTAGCAATTATGTCAGTTTTTCCAACACATTCCGTAGTTCCGACTCTTCTCCCATCAGCCTTTTCCTTGGTCTCCCGTACATCTTCCGCCATGGCCTCTTCCGCCGTTTGCGCCTTGTGCCCGGCACCCGCGACCGTCCACTGCCCCGCTGACAGCGCCAATCTCTGCGCGTCGTGCGATCTCACAGTGCACAGCGCCAACACCATCGTGCACAGACACGTGCGCACCGTCCTCTGCCGCTGCTGCGCCGCCCCCACGACCGTGCAGATCTGCGGCCTCCCCGCATCCACCGCCGCCACTCCCCCTTGCATCTGCGCCTCCTGCATGATGCCTCTGCTCTGGCCGTCCACGGGATTCCCTGGAACGAACGCGGGTAACCTGGTTACCAACTCGCAGACGTCTGGGCCGTGCCCGCAGAGCTTAGCGGCTGCTACGGGTAGCCTACTGCCGGAAGGGCTTACGTCCGGTTCGGAGCGGCTTCTGCAGGGGTTCTTAAACGCTAGCTCGACTTTCTCCCTCGGGAACACCGCTGCTGCGCCGCCTCTCATGACCCATCTCCCGCGCCCGGCGGGGTTCGTGACGGGTGTCCGGGGTGGGCTTGTCCAGGCGGCGACTGTGACGCAGCTTGACGATAACTCTCCAATCAGCGTCCTCACGACGGAGTCTGACGTTTTCCGTTCGACGGATTTCGTTAACCAGCAACCGCGAGAGAAGATGCCACAGGAAGGGCTGTTTCACAGAGTACCGTCTCAAGACATGTTTCCTGGGTCGTTCCGACCAGAGGGGTTGATTCGACTGGAGGAAGCTGAGTCGTATCGAGCCTGCGAGCAGCAGCAGCAGCAGGAGCAACGTGAACACAGCCCGCTCACTCTGTCTCTCTTCCCCCTCTCCGCCGACGAAAGATCGTCCGCCGGGGGAATGGCGCGCAGAATTCACACTGATGTAACGGACGATAGCCGCGTGTCGTGCTGCGCTGTCCCGCCGCTGATTCCGGTCGACGAGCCGCAGAGGAAGCGGCAGCGGGTGCAGGCAGGGAGTGGCGTCGGCGCGTCGCGAGCAGCGTCGGCGTTTGTCCCCTTTGTAAGCGAGACTTGCACCCAGGTGAAGCAATTCGATGGTGCATCGACAATGGATGGGACGGGTCTGGGGAAGAGGCCATATGACGCGTGCGAGAAGCAGCGATTTCCGTCAACTGCGGAGGCAACAGGGGCAGCAGCACCAGGAGCGGAGCCTGCGCGGGGAAAGCTGGGCAAAACTGCTTCCGCGCGGCTCCGCCACGTGCTGCTGACGTGGCAGTCACGTTTAGGGCTTCAAGTACCCACCGTTCGCGCATTGGCTTTCCACATGCTTCAGCGCGTTCTGCTGCGGCTACAGCCGACGGATATGGCGGCGGAGTCGCTGCGCGTGCTGCTGGCCGCGTGTCTGTGGGTGGCGGCTAAGAATGAGGAGAACCAGAAGTGTGTACCGAAAGCGAAAGCGGTTGCTGCTGTAGCGAAGGTGCCTGTATCGCGTCTGGCTTCTTGTGAGATTGAGGTGCTGAAGATGCTGGACTGGCAGCCTCAGAAGGGGTTTAACAGCGAGACTCACGGATTTTGAAAGACCCTAATTTGGAGATGACCCTATTTGAAGCTTCCATTTTGCTGTCACTAGTTTTCGTCCTGGGTGCCAAGTTTAGACTTGATGACTTGGCAATGCTGTGCCTAGCAAGCTCACGGCTCTGCTTGCTGCAGCATCCTAGTTCTAGGTAGACTTGTAGGAATATTGCTTACTCTCTTGCCCATAGCATGTCTATCCAGGCCTTCACATTTCAGTGCGATTTTTTCACTTGATACCTAGCTACTACCTCCTGATGTCTCGGTGATGTTCTATGCTTCATCTGCCCAGTCCTCACCCTCTCCTGGGTAGCTCTCGACGGTTACTTACCATGTGTTAGCAATGGGTACAAAACATCGCGATACACTCAGTAGACCTGCCAATATCGAAGACATCACAGATGGGTGGGGATCGGCGAATGTGTGGCATTTGAAGTAAATGTGCTCCACATGGTTTAGGGTCCTGATAAGGGTCCTGATAAAACCAGTTTAAACCGTCTGAAATCCATGCAAAACGTTCAGAAACGCAAACGAATGGTATTACACCGCTCCAGGGCAACCACTTGTTGACTCAAAACAGTTCCTCAATTGAGACGAGACAAGATAGCGCTTGCAGTCAGAACAGGCAGGCAAGGCTCAGTTGAGGCGAGGACGAGCAATATCACTCTGCTTTGGTACCCACACGGATGCGCCTACCACACACGGCTCCCCTTTTCCTTCCAACTCCAAGCCACCCACCAATGGCGCATTTTGTCGCGAATTTTCCCTTACCTGCTCCGAGCAGTTCTCATCCGCCGCGTTCCTCCCATTCTTCTCATTCCTCCTCTACCTCCTTCCCATTACCGCTTCTCGATCTCGCGGCTCGCGCCGCGGCTGCGAACGTCCCCGCACTTGCCGTTAATCTCCGCATCTTACCGCCGGAACTAGCGCGCCTCGTGTTCTCCGTCCTCCCGCGGCCCCTCGAGCTCTCCGCGATAGACGCCTTCGCGCGCGCCGGATTCTGGAAGCCCGAATCCCTCAACCTCACTGGTGTCTTATCCAAACAGCATCTTGCGAGATTTCCGGTGGGATTTCCGCCGGAATTTCCGGCGCGGGTTCCTTTGGAACGGCTAGCTGCGTTCGCGTCGTCGTTGCGTCGCGTGAATTTGAGCAACAGTCGCTTCCTTATGGACCTCCAGCCGCTAAGCGGTAAGAGCATATCGTTCTTCTTTGCTTGAAAAACGAGTCATGCTGAACGAGAGTGTAGTAGTTTTCTAAAAAAGCATCACATTCTTCACGGTAACATGATTCTCCTTCCACCCCATTCCACGACCATCCCCATCCCACAGCGCTGCCTCGCCTCTCCTGCCTTGGGATTGCCGCGTGCCCGTCTCTCCACCAATCAGCTCTCAACACGCTCTGCTGTAGGTTCCCCTACCTCCTGCCACTCCCTCTCTTCTACAATATTCGCAACGATCTAGTATTCATGACTTTCTCTTTTTGTCCCTTGTCCTCTCCCTCAGCTGAACAACTTTCATTGATGAAAGTTTTTCTTTAATATTTTTGGTTAACCTTACGCGGCAATGCACTGTCTACTCCCGCTCCTCCCGTTTGTGCCAGCTCCCAACCAACCTCCCCTCTGCCACCCCCCCTCCCCTCTCAGACCTCCCGTCGCTCACATGCCTTGACCTCTCATGCCTTGACCTCTCATGCAACCCTCGCTGGTCCACAACGCAATTCATCTCCACACCATCCTCCCCTTTCCCCCCTCCCCACCCACCCCCCTCCCCTCTCAGACCTCCCGTTCCTCACGTGTCTTGACTTCTCACGGAATTCTCAAGTCAACGACACCACTGCCACCGCTGTCATCCCCTGTAAACTGGTTCAGAGACCCCTTATTCACACACTACTCCAGCCCCTCTCCTTCTTCCCTGGTGTCCCCCCTTTCCCCTCCTCCCCGCAGACCTCCCGTCGCTCACATGTCTTGACCTCTCATGCAACCCTCGCTGGTCCACAATGCAATTCATCTCCACACCATCCTCCCCTTTCCCCTCCCTCCCTCCCTCCCAGACCTCCCGTCGCTCACATGTCTTGACCTCTCGCGCAACCCTCAATTTAATGACGCCGCTGCTTCCGGTGTCCTCCCCTGTAAGCCGGTTCAGGGTCTCAGGTAGGCGGTTCTTTCCCCTGTAGTTTGGACCACGAAAGAACCCACGTTATTCCTTTTTTTACCCAACTTAGAAGGCGACTCTGTTTTGTTTACGGTGAATGTCGACTGCCGCTGCCATGTCATCCCTTTTTTGAGTCAACTCAGAAAGACCTTGTAGCCCGTTATGGCGCCTAAGGCCAGGAACGAACCATCACCTGCTCCTCTTCATTCCACAGGGATCCCTTCTCTCCAGCATCTGGACTTGAGTCACACGGCAGTTGGCACCTTGTTCCTCGATTCGCTTTCAGTGCTCACCTTGTAAAAATTTCCCCTTCGCATTCTCTCCCCTTCTCTCCACAGGGATACACTGTCTCCGCCATCTGGTCTTGAGCTACACTGCAGCCACCGCCTCGTTCCCCCTGTCTCAGTCCATTTTTCAACACTTTCTCATCCTTCTTCTTCCTTCCTCTCCCCCTCTCCCGTTCTCTCCTCAGGGATCCCTTCTCTCCAGCATTTAGACCTCAGTTACACTGCGGTCACCACCTCGTTCCTTGATTCCCTCACCTACGGTGCGCGGCTGAAGGGGTGGCGGAACAATGCTGCGGAAGCTTCCAGGAAGGTGGAAGCGCGGAAGGCAGGTGGGTAAAAGAGTGAGGGATTTTGAGCGACGTTGTGAGCCGAGTTCGAAGGTTATAGAGCGGTGCTAATGGGATGGACGAACACTGCTGAAGAAGCTTCTAGGAAGAAACGAGAGAGATGTGCTGAAGTGGGAGAGCTGAAGGAAGGCTTTAGTTCAACTTAAGACTCGTTCCATCCCCCCACCTCTTTAGTCCATCTTTACTACACTACTGAAATGATTTCCCTCATTCTCTCACACGCACACTTCCCATCCATCCACGTCTAAAACCCCGTCTCTGCTCTGCTGCACTGCTGTGCAGCCAAGCGCCTGCGGTGAGCTCGAGTTGACTTCTGCGTCGACTCAAAAGTCAACTCTCGAGTGGTGCGGCTGAAATTAACTCAAAATTGCTCCCCATTGAGGTGATTTTCGAGCCGCCTCAGAAATCACGTCAAAAGTCAGCTCTCAATTGGTGCAACTGAAATTAACTCGAAATTGCTCCCCAAACATCAGCCTCTCTACCCCCATCTGTGCTCTGCTGCACCTGTCTCCAGCCAAGCGCCCTTGGTGGGAGGCAGCCACAGGCACAACGGCAGCTGCTGTCCCCAGCCCCCCACACGCCTCTATCTCTCACACACCTCCCATCCATCCGCCTCTGTACTCCCATCTCTGCTGCACCGCTGTCCAGCCAAGCGCCCCTGGTGGGAGGCGGCTCCAGACACAACGGCAGCTGCTGACCCCAGCCCACACTCCACCTTCACGAAGCGATTTCGCCTGAACCAGGAGCAGCAGCAGCAACAGCAGCAACACCAGCACCAGCAGCAGCAGCAGCAGCTGCTGCTACCAGAGAGACAGCCGCAAGCAGAATCCGAGCAGCAGGAGGTTGGTGAAGAGCAGTTGGAGTGGCGTGAGTGCTGTCTGGTGTACCTGCGGCTGCAGGGGACGACTGTGGACAAGGCTGGAGCAACACACCTGCTAGGTGCACTGTGAGACGGCGGTGAACTTGTTTCGAAATTGCGAGAGAGCATGTGAAAGAGAGAAAATGAGTATTAGAGCATGTCTTGTGCCTCCTACTCTCTTTTGCATACCAAATGCATGGTAACGACCGACCATCACGGGTTGACTTTTGAGTCGACTCAAAAGTCACCTCTTCCACTCTCTTTTGCAAAAGATCCATGCACCAAACACATGGTACCGACCGATCATCACGAGGCATTTGCACCATGCTGCTGACATGGCCTAATGACACGTGTGCTGTAGAGCCTTGTCAGCCACGTGTGACTGATTCCTTTCTCAGAACCTTCCCGCATGTCATGCAGGTCTGAGTGCTACAGTGCCTCTGGGCGGCATGTTCTGTCTGGACTTGAGAGATACACTGGTGAAAGGCGACGTGCTGAGCAAGCTGAGATGTGAGCTGGGCGCTTGTCTTGTCAGCTGGGGGCGTGTGGCTGAGATGTGAGCTGGGCGCTTGTCTTGTCAGCTGGGGGCGTGTGGCTGAGATGTGAGCTGGGCGCTTGTCTTGTCAGCTGGGGGCGTGTGGCTGAGATGTGAGCTGGGAGCTTGTCTTGTCAGCTGGGGGCGTGTGGCTGAGATGTGAGCTGGGCGCTTGTCTTGTCAGCTGGGGGCGTGTGGCTGAGATGTGAGCTGGGCGCTTGTCTTGTCAGCTGGGGGCGTGTGGCTGAGATGTGAGCTGGGCGCTTGTCTTGTCAGCTGGGGGCGTGTGGCTGAGATGTGAGCTGGGCGCTTGTCTTGTCAGCTGGGGGCGTGTGGCTGAGATGTGAGCTGGGCGCTTGTCTTGTCAGCTGGGGGCGTGTGGCTGAGATGTGAGCTGGGCGCTTGTCTTGTCAGCTGGGGGCTTGTGGCTGAGATGTGAGCTGGGCGCTTGTCTTGTCAGCTGGGGGCGTGTGGCTGAGATGTGAGCTGGGCGCTTGTCTTGTCAGCTGGGGGCTTGTGGCTGAGATGTGAGCTGGGCGCTTGTGATGTGAGCTGGGGGCGTGTGGCTGAGATGGTGAGGTGTGGGGGTTTCTCAGCTGTGGATTAGACTTCCGTCTTTTAAGTTGGCTTCAAAAAAGGATTAGGATTATACCTTTGGTTGACGAAAGCTGCAGGTATTACATGCTTCTCTCTCCAGATGTTACATGGAGAGTGGACGGAGAAAAGATATCTCATGCTTCTCTCTCCTCGGTCCTCGTCCATCCGTCCACTCTCCAACCTTCCTCTTATCCTTCTCTCCCTTGCTTTCTCTCCCCTGCCTTCTTCCCTCCCAACAACAGCTACTTTTCATCTGCTCTCTTCACCCAACGAGCCTCGGCTTCTCTGCCGAACCAACGCCCTCGCTCTCAACATCCTCCGAACCTACCCAGGCCCGGGGGCCGAACCTAGCCACCGAACCAGCAGCCGTACCATGGCAAGTGGCTGGGATAGCGAGGAAAGAGCGGGCGAGAGAGGCAGAGGAAGAGGAAGGGGTGATAGATTTCTGGAGAGAGAGAGGGGAGTTTGGAGCGAGGCAGCAGAGGTAGAGGGGGGGGGGGGGGTAAGTCGAGGAACAGCAACAATTGAACAATCACGTCAACAAGCGTTTCACGCTCTCACGGACGAATCGTTATACTCTGTTGCGGTTACCAACGGAGTTACCACCAATATCACAGCCACCAACAAAATTACCATCTTCTTTTGCCCTTCTCACTACAGGAGGCAACGGCACCAGCAACAGCACCAGCAACAGCATCAGCAGGAGCTTTTGCACCATCGTCAGCATCATCAGCATTACTGCATGAGTGGATGTGTGGTTGCGAGCTGACTGGAGCTGGCACTGCTGCTGCCAAGCAGTCTGGCAGCAGCAGCAAGAGCAGCACGAGAAGCAGCAGTGGCGGCAGCAGCAGCGGCGGTGGCATAAGTGAAGGAAGGCATAAGGTGGGAGGGTACATGGAGAGACCTGATGTGGCAGCGTCTGATAGGCTGGAGAGTTGGATGCATGAAGGCGTGATGAGCTTCCTCTGCGCTCCTCCTCCCCGCACTTTCCTCCCTCCTCCACTTGCTCCTCCTGTCGCTCCTCCCCTCGCCCCTCTTCCTCCTCGTGGTATTACTGTTTCCTCTTCTATGCCTCTGCCACATCCTCCAGATTCACTATTTGCCACTCATCCGGCAGTCATGCCGTGACTGGTTTGATAGATGGGTGCCGTGAATGTTACATGTACACATCTTGTGTGTACGCTGATTACTACTGGGAGGACGGACATTCTAGCTTTTGCTACTTTTGCCTCCATCAGGTTACAGGGGTATTCACATCACAGCAGAGGGTGCAAATGTAAACGTTTAGGAAGAAAGGAGGTGTTCAGCTCCGTAAGCAAAATGGTACTACTGGAACTACATCAGAATTGACTGCTCTCATTGAGAGTTGAACTCAAGACCTCCCGCTTACTAAACGGGTGCTCTAACCAACTGAGCTATGAGAGCTGTTTTTAACGACCCGTTATTTCGTTAGATCCTTGTTTAGCAGCTTCAACACCTTTCACTTCAATTTACATGGAAACACTCGTCAAGAAATCCAGCAGTTCTTCTATCCACTTTTTCCATTCCCTCCCGCACACCTCTCCATGTGCCCTAGGTCACGACCTTAATAAAACCTTAAACCTTAAACCTTAAACCCTCTCCATGTGCCCAGAGGCTGCAAGCAGACCTTTTAAAAGGTTATCTCCATCACTCAAGCTGGTTCCACTCGGAGTTCAGAGCCTACTGAACAGCTCCTTGATTTCTCCACGACAAGGCAGACCAGCACGTCTAGCACTTGTGAATCACTGGTGAGGAGAGCCAGACAAGGACTTACAAGAAGAGATGGACAAAGTGGTGAGGAACGAAAAACACATACAGACTTGCTCTCATTGAGAGTTGAACTCAAGACCTCCCGCTTACTAAACGGGTGCTCTAACCAACTGAGCTATGAGAGCTGCTTCATGCAGAAGAGTGTTTTTTAAATATCAATATTAAGCTTAACCTCCCCATCTTCCCACATTTTTGACATTGATTGACCGCCATGGACGGAAGGCATCACCAGAGGTAGGCGATAGGAATGACGTAAGGTTGCGTCGAGCTCGCCTAAGGAGCTCAGCCCTAGTTGTCTTACGGGCTTCCTCGGTAATGACATGTGCTAGCATAGCCTCATTGCCTTCCCTCTACGCGCTTCTCTCCTTCTGGTCATCATGGCATTCCCTACGTTCAGGGTGTTTTTGAGAATTCTCTAAAGACATGTGCTAACACGGCCTCATTTCCGTGCCTCTTCACGGTTCCTTCCATCTGGTCTCTGAAAGCATTCCCTACGTTCCTCGCACGTGACCCCACTCTGTTTTCAAGTGTCTGAATAAATATGCCGTTCCGACATGGCGACTTTTGAGGCGCCTCAGAAGCTGAATATATTCGCCATTGCGACATGGATAGCCAAGGACATTGAAACGCTTGAATCACCCAGGGGACGCTGAGTCTCGAACGATGTGTTTAACAGTGTGTCGGTCATTGTGTCAGTCACGGTGTCGTGTCGGTTGATGTATGTGACACTGTAGCTGACATTGTGACTGACATCCGAGTGTCATGTCTGTCATTGTGTCTGACATTGTGCCAGTTCAAGTGTCAATCATGGCACTAGCAGACATTAAATCTGACACATGTTCTGTTCTGACACACTAGCTGACACACTTTCTGACACACTAGCTGACACGTTATCTGACACACTATCTGACACACTATCTGGGGTACTATCAGACATTACCGTGCATCCCGCCATTGCCGCCGGCTCCTCTTCTCTATCCACTTCCCACTTGCTGCCCCCTCCCCTCCACTCCCCCTCCCGCCACCTAACCCCATTCCCACTCCCCTCCCTTTACCCTAACCTATCTTTCTCCAACCTCCCCTTCCCCTCCATCCCCCCCCATCAACCACCCCCTCCCTCCCCTTCCCCTCCATCCCCCCCCATCAACCATCCCCTCCCCCCCCTCCCCCACCCCCTTCCCCCCTCAACCCTCCCTCCCTGTCCCCCCATCCTTCCACCCGGCTCCATTCCCCCCCCGGGATGCCCCCTTCCCCGCGCGCACTTCTCCCCGTCCCCAGACATGGCTCCGCGGGCGGAGGCGCGGGGCGGCAGGAGGGGAACCTGTGGGGGCAGGCGCGGAGCGTGTTCATGAGCGCAATACTGGCGGAGCCTCCCCCTGAAATCCGGAGAGAAGGTGCGGAAGTGGGGGGGTCGGGGTGGATGGATGGGGGGAGGGGGGGGAGGGGTGTAAACGCGGAGCATGTTCATGAGCGCCATACTGGCGGAACCCCTTCCGGATATCCGCAGAGAAGGTGGGGAAGTGGGGGATGAGGGGGAGATGGGTGGAAGCATGACGGGGGGTGGGCAGGCGCGGAGCGTGTTCATGAGCGCCATACTGGCGCAATATTGGCGGAACCTCCCCCAAAACCTGTGGGGGCAGGCGCGGAGCATGTTCATGAGCGCCATACTGGCAGAGCCCAACGCGGGGAGGGAGGGGAGGGGTGTCAGCTCGGAGCGTATTCATGAATGCCATACTAGCGGAGCCTCCCCCAGAGATCCGCAGAGAAGTTGGGGAAGTGGGGAGTGGAACGGGAAGGGGAGGAGGGGTTTGCTTCAACAATCCTCCCTCTCCCCCTTCTGCCCTCTCTTCCCCCAACGTAACTCCCCCAGTTGTTACTCGTCCCACAATCAGCACTGGCACAGTCAGCGGCGCAGACGCGCTCACGATGCTGCTGGCAGGGAATGACATCGGTATCGTGCGCCGCCGAGACACCACCCCTGCTGCTGCTGCTGCTGCTGGTGCTGCTGCTGGTGCTGCTGCTGCTGCTGGTGCTGCTGCTGCTGCTGGTGCTGCTGCTGGTGCTGGTGCTGGTGCTGGTGGTGCTGCTGCTGCTGCTGCTGCTGCTGCTGCTGCTGCTGCTGCTGCTGCTGCTGCTGCTGCTGCTGCTGCTTCTGCTGCTGCTGCTGCTGCTGCTGCTGCTGCTGCTGCTGCTGCTGCTGCTGCTGCTGCTGCTGTTGCTGCTTCTGCTGCTGCTGCTTCTGCTGCTGCAGCTTCTGGTGGTGATTCTTGAGGCGCTTCAACAGGCCCTCTCTCCCTTCTACCCTCCCTTCCCCCCACCCGTCCAGTTACTCGTCCCACAATCAACACCAGCACAGTCAGCGGCGCCGGCGCGCTCACAACGCTGCTGGCAGGGAATGACATCGGTATCGTGCGCCGCCGAGACACCACCCCTGTTGCTGCTGGTGGTTCTGGTGGTGGTGTTGGTGGTGATGCTGCTGCCTGCCAGTGGTGATTCTTGAGGCGCTTCAACAATCCCTCTCCCCCTTCTCCCCTCTCCCCCCCATCCCACTTCCTCAGTTACTCGTCCCACGATCAACACCGGCACGGTCAGCGGCACAGACGCGCTCACAACGCTGCTGGCAGGCAATGACATCCGTATAGTGCGCCACCGAGACACACCTATCTTCCTTCTCCCCTCTCCCCTCTCTCCTCCTTCTCCCTCTTTTCCCCCATCCATCCAGTTACTCGTCCCACGATCAACACCGGCACGGTCAGCGGCACAGACGCCCTCACAACGCTGCTGGCAGGGAATGACATCGGTATAGTGCGCCGCCGAGACACCTCTATCCCCCTTCCCCCATCTCTTCCCCCATCCCATCCCCTCAGTTACTCGTCCCACGATCAACACGGGCACAGTCAGCGGCACAGACGCGCTCACAACGCTGCTGGCAGGGAATGACATCCGTATAGTGCGCCGCCGAGACACCACCCCTGCTGGTGGTGGTGGTGGTGGTGGTGGTGGTGGTGGTGGTGGTGGTGGTGGTGCTAGTGGTGGTGGTGGTGGTGCAAGTGGTGCATCAGGCAGTGGAGTGGGGAAGGGAGAGGGCGGGCAGGGAAGAGGGGTCAACGGGGGCGCGGGAAGGGGGGCAGGGAGAGGCGGAGGAAGGGGAGGGGAGGATGGGAGGGAGAGGGGAGGGGTGAGTGAGGAGGAGAAGGAGGCACTGTTTGCAATGGCTGCTCGGCACGAGTGGATGTCGTATCTGAGGGAAGAGATACTGCTGCTGCACGTGAGTAACGTTTCATAGTATCTGTTTTGATTTCGAGAATGAAATGTGCTGTGGGAATCATTTCTGCTGCTGCTGGTGGTGCACGTGAGTAAGATATTCTCTGTCAATCCGCCTGCGTTCTCACCCTTCCCCTTCCCCCTTGCAGATTGAGAGCGTCAGAACGAGCTGGTGGCGACCCAGCAGCAGCAGAAGAAGAAGAACCGTCTCTTACAAGACTCGAATGCGTATCCTCCCCGTGTAATTCTGTGCTGTACACCCTCCCTCCCTTCCCCGTGCATTCTCACCCTTCACCTTCCCCCTGGCAGATTGAGCGACAGAACGAGCTGGTGGCGGCCCAGCAGCAGCAGAAGAAGAAAGGCGGAGGCACACCCACTGCTGCCGCCGCTGGTGAGTGCGTTTTTAGGGCACACCCACTGCTGCTGCTGCGTCTGCCGCTGCTGGTAATTGCTTTTGGAGTGCCCTCACTTTTTCGCCCCTCTCACCCCTTCTCTCCGGCAGCAGCCAGCAGCAGGAGCGTGTGGGCGCCAACCAACGACCCAGCAGCCATGCTCCAAGCCAAGCTAGACGTTGAAATGCCTCAGTTCAACACCCGCCCTCTCCCCCTGCTGCTGCCTCTCTCCCCTCTTCCCAATGTTCTCCCGCACCCTCCCATTCACCCTTTTCTTTGGCAGCAGCCAGCAGCAGGGCCGTGTGGGCGCCAACCAACGACCCAGCAGCCATGCTGCAAGCGAAACTCGATGTCGAAATGCCTCAGTTCAAGTCCCGCCCCCCTGCTGCTGCCTCTGCCGCCGCCGCTGCCGCTGCCAAGGGGGAACTCTGGCGCAAAAAAAGCTCCGCCCTGGGGGAATCAGGGGAAACTCTGCAGGAAAAAAGGGCGGTTTTGCAAGTGTCCCAGTCTACGCGGGTGTACGGCGGTCCGGTGATGGAAGGGAGGAATGTGGGCAGGGTGAAGAGTGGAGGAGAGGCAGGGATTGGTGAGGGGGAGGAGGAGGAGGAAGAGGAGGGTGGTATGAGTGCTGCCAGCGTTGCTGCTATAGGGTTTGCATCTGCTTCCGTTGGCGGTGCTGCTGCTGGTGCTGCTGGTGATGCTGCTGGTGCTGGTGGCATTGGCGGAACAACGGCTGCTGCTGTTGCTGCAGCTGTGGCGGCTGCTGGCCCTGCTGCTGCTGACTCGATTGCTGCTGGCGCTGCTGACCCACTCTGTGAGCCCATCTTCCACTGTTGCTTGTTTTGAGTCGAGTTTTGTGTCGACTCAAAACACGACTGCTGCTGGCACTGCTGAACCACTCTGTGAGCCCATCTTCCACTGTTGCTTGTTTTGAGTCGACTTTTGTGTCGACTCAAAACAGGATTGCTGCTGGCGCTGCTGACCCACTCTGTGAGCCCATCTTCCACTGTTGCTTGTTTTGAGTCGACTTTTGTGTCGACTCAGAACACGACTGCTGCTGGCGCTGCTGAACCACTCTGTGAGCCCATCTTCCACTGTTGCTTGTTTTGAGTTGACTTTTGTGTCAACTCAAAACACGACTGCTGCTGGCGCTGCTGACCCACTCTGTGAGCCCATCTTCCTCTGTTGCTTGTTTTGAGTCGACTTTTGTGTCGACTCAAAACACGACTGCTGCTGGCGCTGCTGACCCACTCTGTGAGCCCATCTTCCACTGTTGCTTGTTTTGAGTCGACTTTTGTGTTGACTCAAAACACGACTGCTGCTGGCGCTGCTGACCCACTCTGTGAGCCCATCTTCCACTGTTGTGTTGTTGTTTGCTTTGGGAGTCCTGTGGAGTGGGAGCAGCTCGTCTGCGGCTGCTGCTGTTGCTTCAGCTGTGGCAGCTGCTAGTCGTGCTGTTGATTGGACTGCTGCTGGCGCTGCCGACCCACTGTGTGAGCCCGTCCGCCAGTGCTGGTTGTTTTTTAGAGCCCTGTGGAAAGCAGCTCGGCTGCTGGCCCTGCTGCTGCTGACTCGACTGCTGCTGGCGCTGCTGACCCGCTCTTTGAACCCATATTCCACTGTTGCTTGTTTTGGAGCTGGCTGGGCTGGTTCGTTCACCCTAAACCTCCGACTTTTGAGTCAACTCAAAAGTCACCTTGCAGCTGACCTACTCTGTAAGCCGCCCATCTTCCAGTGCTGCTTGTTTTGAGTTGACTTTGAGTCGACTTTTGTGTGGACTCAAAACGCGACTGCTGCTGGCACAGCTGACCCACTCTTTAAGCCGCCCATCTTCCAGTGCTGCTTGTTTTGAGTCGACTTTTGTGTCGACTCAAAATGCGACTGCTGCTGGCACAGCTGACCCACTCTGTAAGCCGCCCATCTTCCAGTGCTGCTTGTTTTGAGTCGACTTTGAGTCGACTTTTGTGTCGACTCAAAACGCGACTGCTGCTGGCACAGCTGACCCACTCTGTAAGCCGCCCATCTTCCAGTGCTGCTTGTTTTGAGTCGACTTTTGTGTCGACTCAAAACGCGACTGCTGCTGGCACAGCTGACCCACTCTGCAAGCCGCCCATCTTCCAGTGCTGCTTGTTTTGGAGCAGGGCTGTTCGTTCACCCTAAACCTCTGCTGTGGACCGTGCGATGTGACTTGATTTGACGAGGATGATTCGCGGAGGAGATATTGAAAGCACTTTTGAGAATTCTCAAAGGCGATTTCAATATAGCATGCGATGTGATTTGACGAGGATGATTCGCAGAGGAGACTCTGACGTCTCAAGAATGCTGCTGTGGATGATGCACTGTGATGTGACTGATGTGTTGTGATGTGATTTTCTCCTTCTCTTTCCGCCCTCTCCTCTCTTTCTTCTTACCCCTCTCCCTCCGCGCTCCCTCCTCTCCCTCCTCTCCCTCCTGCCCTCCGCTCCCTCCTCTCCCTCCGCTCCCTCCTCTCCCTCCGCTCCCTCCTCTCCTTCCTCTCCCTCCTCTCTCTCCGCTCCTTCCTCTCCTTCCTCTCCCTCCTCTCTCTCCGCTCCTTCCTCTCCCTCCTCTCCCTCCATTCCCTCCCCTCCCTCCTCTTACCCGTCTCCACAGCCTGGCGTGCATCAAGTGGGGAGGGGGCGGCCAAGGCAGCAGCAGAGGCGGCTGCAGTCGAAGCCCCTCACTGCAGTCGAAGCCCCTCACTGCAGTCGAAGCCCCTCACTGCAGTCGAAGCCCCTCACTGCAGTCGAAGCCCCTCACTGCAGTCGAAGCCCCTCACTGCAGTCGAAGCCCCTCACTGCAGTCGAAGCCCCTCACTGCAGTCGAAGCCCCTCACTGCAGTCGAAGCCCCTCACTGCAGTCGAAGCCCCTCACTGCAGTCGAAGCCCCTCACTGCAGTCGAAGCCCCTCACTGCAGTCGAAGCCCCTCACTGCAGTCGAAGCCCCTCACTGCAGTCGAAGCCCCTCACTGCAGTCGAAGCCCCTCACTGCAGTCGAAGCCCCTCACTGCAGTCGAAGCCCCTCACTGCAGTCGAAGCCCCTCACTGCAGTCGAAGCCCCTCACTGCAGTCGAAGCCCCTCACTGCAGTCGAAGCCCCTCACTGCAGTCGAAGCCCCTCACTGCAGTCGAAGCCCCTCACTGCAGTCGAAGCCCCTCACTGCAGTCGAAGCCCCTCACTGCAGTCGAAGCCCCTCACTGCAGTCGAAGCCCCTCACTGCAGTCGAAGCCCCTCACTGCAGTCGAAGCCCCTCACTGCAGTCGAAGCCCCTCACTGCAGTCGAAGCCCCTCACTGCAGTCGAAGCCCCTCACTGCAGTCGAAGCCCCTCACTGCAGTCGAAGCCCCTCACTGCAGTCGAAGCCCCTCACTGCAGTCACTTTCGAGTCGACCTTTGCTGACTCTCCTGTCCGTTCCTCCCTCTTCTCCAACCTCTCCTACTCCCCCTTCTCCCTCCTCTCCCTCCCCTTACCCCTCTCCCTCCCCCTACTATCCCTCTCCACAGCCCGGCGTGCATCAAGTGGGGAGGGGGCGGCCAAGGCAGCAGCAGAGTCTTTTCAGCAAGCAGGTGGTGACATGACATACTATCGAAATGAATTGGGATTTTGCCGCCTCCCCCTTTTCTCTCTCCCTCTCCACAGCCCGGCGTGCATCAAGTGGGGAGAGGGCGGCCAAGGCAGCAGCAGAGGAAGCCCCTTAGTTGGTGAATTCGGAGTCAACTCTTCTGCCCCCCCTCCCTTTTCTTACCCCTCTCCACAGCACGGCGTGCATCAAGTGGGGAGAGGGCGGCCAAGGCAGCAGCAGAGGCGGCGACAACGGGCGGGCAGAGGATGATTCGCGTGTGGGAGAGGATGAAACGCATCATCCCCAGCAACCCCTCCTCTGCCGCCACTGCTGCTGCCTCCGATGCCGCTGCTGCTGGTGGCGATAGCAGCAGCAATTTCCTACCAGAGGTGAGTCAGGATGTGAATAGGGTGGAGAGATTATGGGTCAAGAGATGAAGAGAAATCACTTTTGAGGATTCTCACAAGTGATTTCAACGCCGCCGCTGCCTCTGATGCCGCCGCTGCTGGCGGCAATAGCAACAGCGAGTTCCTACAAGAGGTGAGTAAAAAAAAAGAAAGGAGTACAGGTCATCAAGATACGAAGAGAAGGGGATCTGTACTCTCCCATACTCCCCCCCCCCCATCACCAACCAACCAACCAACCCCAACAGGCGTGTCATCGCAGCCATTTGAGCCAGTCGTTTTTGGCCTCTCTGTTCAGCTGGAACACATCCCAGACGACCAGTGTTTTTTGAGAGACCAGTCGTTTTTGGCCTCTCTCAAAAAACACTCTGTTCGGCTGGAACACATCCCAGACGACCACAGATGCCCCTCCTGGATTGCAATTAACCTTCCTGTTGCACCCATGCCCAAGCCCATGCCGCAATCAACCTTCCTTCTGCCCATCCTCCCCTCGCTCTCTCCTACCTCCCACGCACTCCCCCTCTCCCTCCCCCATTCCACCCCCACCAGGCATGTCATCGCATCGCAGCCATCTCAGCCAGTCGCTCTCGGCCGGACTGATCCCAGCCGACCAGAGGGGTCCCTCCTGGATTGCCCTGTTGCTCTCCCTCATGCTGGTCACTAACTCCCCCTCTGCCCATCCCCCACACTCCCCCATCTCCTCCGTTGCACCAGGCATGTCATCGCAGCCATCTCAGCCAGTCGCTCTCGGCCGGACTGATCCCAGCCGACCAGAGGGGTCCCTCCTGGATTGCCCTGTTGCTCTCCCTCATGCTGGTCACTAACTCCCCCTCTGCCCATCCCCCACACTCCCCCATCTCCTCCGTTGCACCAGGCATGTCATCGCAGCCATCTCAGCCAGTCGCTCTCGGCCGGACTGATCCCAGCCGACCAGAGGGGTCCCTCCTGGATTGCCCTGTTGCTCTCCCTCATGCTGGTCACTAACTCCCCCTCTGCCCATCCCCCACACTCCCCCATCTCCTCCGTTGCACCAGGCATGTCATCGCAGCCATCTCAGCCAGTCGCTCTCGGCCGGACTGATCCCAGCCGACCAGAGGGGTCCCTCCTGGATTGCCCTGTTGCTCTCCCTCATGCTGGTCACTAACTCCCCCTCTGCCCATCCCCCACACTCCCCCATCTCCTCCGTTGCACCAGGCATGTCATCGCAGCCATCTCAGCCAGTCGCTCTCGGCCGGACTGATCCCAGCCGACCAGAGGGGTCCCTCCTGGATTGCCCTGTTGCTCTCCCTCATGCTGGTCACTAACTCCCCCTCTGCCCATCCCCCACACTCCCCCATCTCCTCCGTTGCACCAGGCATGTCATCGCAGCCATCTCAGCCAGTCGCTCTCGGCCGGACTGATCCCAGCCGACCAGAGGGGTCCCTCCTGGATTGCCCTGTTGCTCTCCCTCATGCTGGTCACTAACTCCCCCTCTGCCCATCCCCCACACTCCCCCATCTCCTCCGTTGCACCAGGCATGTCATCGCAGCCATCTCAGCCAGTCGCTCTCGGCCGGACTGATCCCAGCCGACCAGAGGGGTCCCTCCTGGATTGCCATGGCATGCTCCGACCATGAGGTATGGCAGCTCCAAACTTGAGGTATGGCAGCTCCAAACTTGAGGTATGGCAGCTCCAAACTTGAGGTATGGCAGCTCCAAACTTGAGGTATGGCAGCTCCGACCCTGAGGTACAGCATGCTCTGACCCTGAGGTATGGCATGCTCCGACCCTGAGGTATGGCGTGCTCCAAACCTCGTCTTATGTGTCGGGTGACTCCATAATCTCTTGTCTTGTTTCTCCTCCACTCCACACCAGGACGATCTCATCAATCGCACCAGCTACACGCTGCTGAGCCGAGCAACGCTCCTGCTGAGAGCCCCCCCTTCGTCCAAGTCCTCTTCCCTTCTCTCTGTCCTGGGTCGGTTTTTGAGTCGACTCAAAACTTGACCTTATCAATCACACCAGCTACACGCTGCAAGCCGAGCAACGCTCCTGCTGAGAGCTCCCCCTTCGTCCAAGTCTCTGTCCTTCCATTCCCCTCCCTGCTCCCACACCAGGACGATCTCATCAATCGCACCAGCTACACACTGCTCAAGGAACGCGCTGCCTCTGCCCCTCCCACTACGTATGGCACACAAGCCGTTTGCTCTGATCACTCTCGTTTCCCCCGTTTCGACTTCCCTTCTCCCTTCCCTCCCTCCCTCTCCTCCCTTTCAGTTCACTCCTTTTGCTTTGCTCCTCCCCGTCGTCCTCTCTCTTTTGAGTCGACTCAAAACTCTCTTCCCCTTCAGTTCTCTCCTGCTTTGCTCCCTATCCATCTTCCTCTCTCTTTTGAGTCGACTCAAAACTCTCTTCCCCTTCAGTTCTCTCCTGCTTTGCTCCCTATCCATCTTCCTCTCTCTTTTCTCTGTTTCTCACATCCCCTTCAGCACTCTGTATATCTATATAAACATGTTTTTCCTTTCATTCTTCTCCGTTTTGCCCTTCCTTCCAGAGAGGTATACCGTGACACGCTCTGTGTGGTGCTAGAGTGGAGGGAGAAGCAAGCACAAGCACTCCTCCTGAAGCAGGAACAGCAGCAGCAGCAGCAGCAACAGCAGCAGGAGAAATGGCATGGCGATAGTAACCAGGAGGGTAACCAGGAGGGAGAACAGGACGCAGCAGCAACATCAGGCAGCGGAGCATCTGTCCCCTCTATAGCGTTCTCCCCTAAGCGCCCCCCTGCTGCTGTGGCTGCTGAGAAAGTGGCTAAGCTGATGGCTGCTGCAGCTGAGAGGCAGGCCCGGGAAGCAGCACAGATCGCATCTGCTGCTGCTGCTGCTGCTGCTGCTGCTGCTGCTGCTGCTGCTGCTGCTGCTGCTGCTGCTGCTGCCGCTGCTACCGCTTCTGCTGTTGGTGATGACTCTGCTCCTGACGCTGCTGCTGCTGATGCTGCTGTTGCTGATGCTGCCGATGCTGCTGCTGCTGCTGCTGCTGCTGCCGGGGAAGGTGTGAGTGTGGTGGTGGTGGGGGTGGAGGATGGGCTGAGTGAGGAGGACGCAGCTCTGCACCAGTCGCTGCTGAACCTCATCAAAGCATACTCTGTGAGTTTGAAGCCTTAGAGCTGCCTTGTCTGTCAGTTAGCATTGTTGCTGCAGCTGGTGCTGGTGCCGGGAAAGGTGTGAATGTAAGAGTGGTGGGAGTGGCGGATGGGTTGAGTGAGGAGGACGCAGCTCTGCACCAGTCGCTGCTGAACCTCATCAAAGCATACTCTGTGAGTTTGAAGCCTTAGAGCTGCCTTGTCTGTCAGTTAGCATTGTTGCTGCAGCTGGTGCTGGTGCCGGGAAAGGTGTGAATGTAAGAGTGGTGGGAGTGGCGGATGGGTTGAGTTTTGAGACGTGTCAAAACTCGAAAGGTGTGAATGTAAGAGCGGTGGGGGTGGAGGATGGGTTGAGTGAGGAGGACGCAGCTCTGCACCAGTCGCTGCTGAACCTCATCAAAGCATACTCTGTAAGCAACTTTTGAGACGTCTCAAACCTCATCAAAGCATATTCTGTGAGCATCGTTGCTGCTGGTACTGCCGGGGAAGGTGTGAGTGTGATGGTGGTGAATGTACTGTGTGAGAAGGGACAACTTTCTACACCAGTCACTTCTGAATCTCATCAAGCATACTCTGCGGGTTGAAGGCGCAGAGGCAAGTCGAAGAAGATTTTCTTTTGTGCCGATTAGTAATTGCCTCTGGGTTCAGACGCCTCCTAGGGAAGCTTTGCACCAGTTCGCTGAACCTCCCACAGTTCAAGTCACTAGCAGGGCCTCACAGCTATGTGCCATGTGCATCCCTCCTCCCCACTGCCACACTCTCCCAGGTGTGTGACCCGGTCACGTGGTACTGCAGCGGCATGGGGTGGATGGCGCTCACATTACACTGCTCTCATATCTCACACCCCTCCTTCATCCTTCCCCCCTTGTCCCCCCCCCTCAGGTGTGTGACCCGGACACGTGGTACTGCAGTGGCATGGGGTGGATGGCGCTCACGCTGCTCTCCCTCATGGCGGAGGAAGATGCCTTCCTCTCCCTCCTCTTCCTCATGCACCGCTGCGGCCTCCGAGGGCTCTTTGCACCCAACATGCACCAGGTGGGTGCGGCTGAGATGAAAGAGAGGGAAAGGCACCTCTTTGCACCCAACATGCACCAGGTGGGTGCGGCTGAGATGAAAGAGAGGGAAAGGCACCTCTTTGCACCCAACATGCACCAGGTGGGTGCGGCTGAGATGAAAGAGAGGGAAAGGCACCTCTTTGCACCCAACATGCACCAGGTGGGTGCGGCTGAGATGAAAGAGAGGGAAAGGCACCTCTTTGCACCCAACATGCACCAGGTGGGTGCGGCTGAGATGAAAGAGAGGGAAAGGCACCTCTTTGCACCCAACATGCACCAGGTGGGTGCGGCTGAGATGAAAGAGAGGGAAAGGCACCTCTTTGCACCCAACATGCACCAGGTGGGTGCGGCTGAGATGAAAGAGAGGGAAAGGCACCTCTTTGCACCCAACATGCACCAGGTGGGTGCGGCTGAGATGAAAGAGAGGGAAAGGCACCTCTTTGCACCCAACATGCACCAGGTGGGTGCGGCTGAGATGAAAGAGAGGGAAAGGCACCTCTTTGCACCCAACATGCACCAGGTGGGTGCGGCTGAGATGAAAGAGAGGGAAAGGCACCTCTTTGCACCCAACATGCACCAGGTGGGTGCGGCTGAGATGAAAGAGAGGGAAAGGCACCTCTTTGCACCCAACATGCACCAGGTGGGTGCGGCTGAGATGAAAGAGAGGGAAGGCACCTCTTTGCACCCAACATGCACCAGGTGGGTGCGGCTGAGATGAAAGAGAGGGAAAGGCACCTCTTTGCACCCAACATGCACCAGGTGGGTGCGGCTGAGAGCGAGGTTTTATGCATACACACTAAGGGTTTTATGCATACACACTAAGGGTTTTATGCATACACACTAAGGGTTTTATGCATACACACTAAGGGTTTTATGCATACACACTAAGGGTTTTATGCATACACACTAAGGGTTTTATGCATACACACTAAGGGTTTTATGCATACACACTAAGGGTTTTATGCATACACACTAAGGGTTTTATGCATACACACTAAGGGTTTTATGCATACACACTAAGGGTTTTTGCTCTCAGGAAAGATCCCATTGTCATGACCCCTCTGTCATGACCCCTCTGTCATGACCCCTCTTCCTTTCAAATCACACCCAACTCCCTCTCTCCCCTCTTCCCTCCCTCTTTCCCCTATCCAGCTCAACACGCGTCTCTCCCAGTTCCTCACAGAGACCACGCCTCTCCCAGCTTCAGCTTCAAATTTCACTGTCTTTTCATACTTGCTCTAGCCTAAACCTAAGTGCCGCTGCTCACTGGAAGATGTCCAAAGTTCCTCACAGAGACCACGCCTCTCCCAGCTTCAGCTCTCAGCTCAATGTGAAACCCTCTCTCTCTCTCTTTCTTTCTTCCTCTCCTCCCCCTTCCCCCCCCTCTCGAGCTCAACACGCGCCTCTCGCGGCTTTCCCAGTTCCTGGCGGAGTCCATGCCTCTCCCACACAGCTCTAAGCTCACTGTCGAAACTGCCTCTCTTTATCGCCCTCTCCTCCCTCTCCTCCCTCTCCCCCCTCTCCCCAGCTCAACACGCGTCTCTCCCAGCTCTCCCAGTTCCTGGCAGAGTCCACACCTCGCCTGCATTCTTTCTTCGAGGACCTGCAGCTTAAACCCGTGAGTTGACTCAGTCTGAGTTGACTTGCCTTGACTTGAGTTGACTAGATCTATTCATGTGCACTTGTGATGACTTTGCCTCGCCTGCATTCTTTCTTCGAGGACCTGCAGCTCAAACCCGTGAGTTGACTCAGTCTGAGTTGAATTGCCTTGACTTGAGTTGACTAGATCTACTTATGTGCACTTGCGATGACTTTGCCTCGCCTGCACTCCTTCGAAGACCTGCAGCTCAAACCCGTGAGCCTATTGAGCATCACTTGAATTTACTTGACTTGAGTTGAGTTGACTCGCATGAGTTGACTTGCATGAATGAACTTGTGTTGCGTATGAGTTGAGTTGTCTATTCTTGCTTATTCGCCTCGCATGCACTCCCTCTTGAGGACCTTTGAGTCAACTCAAAGTTGCTCACCTCGCATTCGCTCCTTCTTTGTGGGCATGAGTTGACTGGTGGTCACTGGTTGACCACCAACCGACATCCTTATTGCCCCCTTTCCTCCCCCGCTGCCCTCTTCCCCATGCCTCCACCAGAGCATGTATGCAGCGGATTGGCTGCTCTCCCTATTTGCCCGCCACATGCCGCAGTACCTCGTGTATCGCGTCTTCGACATCGTGCTCGGTATGTGCCTCGTGTGGTGTGCTGTGTGCCTTGTGTGTTGCCTTGGACGCAATGTGTCCCTCTTCGCCCGCCACATGCCGCAGTACCTCGTGTATCGCGTCTTCGACATCATGCTCGGTATGTGACTCATGCCCGCCCCATGCATGGTTCATCCATACCATACCTTGTGCCTCGTGTATTCCTAGATGCAACGTGATAAAAGAGAGTTTTTGAGACGTCTCAAAAACTCTCTATTATCACGTGGTGTGGCAACCTGCGCTGCGCCCAATGCCTCGGTACCTCATGAATGCACTGTGCCTTTGACATCATGCTCGGTATTAGACTGATACATGACTCGTGTAAGCCGTGTGCTCTTGTATGCAACAAGTGCCTCATACACTCCACTCATACCAGCTTCTCCATGTCGTCTCCTTGTCCTCCCATCCTGCCCACATCGCATCGCATCACACCACACCACACCACACCACACCACATCACAACCACAGCTGAGAAGACCATGTCAGTTGTGTTCAAGCTCGCTATAGTGCTGCTGCAGGTACGAATATTCAAACCACTAAAACCAATCATGGAACTGTTTGCACCCCTCGTTCTTCCTTCATTCATTAACCTCCCTCTTTTTTCGCGCGTAATTCCATTTGCCTCCCCAACTACCTCGTCTGAGGCACCTCAAAAGTTGTCTCCCACTGCCTATTTCTTCGCACTCTTATGCTCTTCTCCCCTCCGCCTCTTCTCACTCTTATGCTCTTCTCCCCTCTGCCTGTTATCTTCTCCCCTCCGCCTCTTCTCACTCTTATGCTCTTCTCCCCTCTGCCTGTTATCTTCTCCCCTTCTGCCTGTTATCTTCTCCCCTCTGCCTGTTATCTTCTCCCCTCTGCCTGTTATCTTCTCCCCTCTGCCTGTTATCTTCTCCCCTCTGCCTGTTATCTTCTCCCCTCTGCCTGTTATCTTCTCCCCTCTGCCTGTTATCTTCTCCCCTCTGCCTGTTATCTTCTCCCCTCTGCCTGTTATCTTCTCCCCTCTGCCTGTTATCTTCTCCCCTCTGCCTGTTATCTTCTCCCCTCTGCCTGTTATCTTCTCCCCTCTGCCTGTTATCTTCTCCCCTCTGCCTGTTATCTTCTCCCCTCTGCCTGTTATCTTCTCCCCTCTGCCTGTTATCTTCTCCCCTCTGCCTGTTATCTTCTCCCCTCTGCCTGTTATCTTCTCCCCTCTGCCTGTTATCTTCTCCCCTCTGCCTGTTATCTTCTCCCCTCTGCCTGTTATCTTCTCCCCTCTGCCTGTTATCTTCTCCCCTCTGCCTGTTATCTTCTCCCCTCTGCCTGTTATCTTCTCCCCTCTGCCTGTTATCTTCTCCCCTCTGCCTGTTATCTTCTCCCCTCTGCCTGTTATCTTCTCCCCTCTGCCTGTTATCTTCTCCCCTCTGCCTGTTATCTTCTCCCCTCTGCCTGTTATCTTCTCCCCTCTGCCTGTTATCTTCTCCCCTCTGCCTGTTATCTTCTCCCCTCTGCCTGTTATCTTCTCCCCTCTGCCTGTTATCTTCTCCCCGCCTTTCCCCTCCCGTAGGTCACCCGGCGTCAGCTAATGCTGTGTCCAGAGTTCGATTACTGTCTGCACTTCCTGCACTCTGAGCTGCCTCTGGAGCTCAATGTGAGTGAGTGAGTGAGTGAGTGCATGAGGAAGTGCCGGTAATGCCTGCACCGCACTGCCTGCACCGCCTGCACTGCCTGCTCTGCCTCTGGAACTCAATGTGCGTGAGTGGGTGAGTGAGTGAGTGAGTGAGTGAGTGAGTGAGTGGGTGAGTGAGTGAGTGAGTGATTGGGTGAGTGGGTGAGTGAGTGAGTGAGTGAGTGATTGGGTGAGTGGGTGAGTGAGTGAGTGAGTGGGTGAGTGAGTGAGTGAGTGGGTGAGTGAGCGCATGCGTGAGTGAGTGATGGTGATTGCCTCATTGCACCGAGCTTGAAAATGACGATACTGCTGCCTGCCGTGCCTGCCTTGCACTGCTGCACTGCACTGCACTGCACTGCACAGCACTCCGAGGTGCCCTTGGAACTCAGCGTGCGCCTGTCGCGTGTGAAAGTGACTGGTACACTCGTCGTCACATCACATCACACCCTCCTCTTTCCCGCCACTTCCCTCCTGTCCTCCCTTCCCTCCCAATCAGCTCCTCCCCGACAGGGAAGAGGAGGAGCTGGTGTCCAAGGCACTGAGGGTGCGCCTGCTTTCTGAGATTAGATTATTTGGCGCAGAACACCCTCCCCAGTTCCTTCCCTCCCTCTTTCTCTTCCCTCCCTCGCCCTGTTTCCCTCTCCCCATTTCCCCCAATCAGCTCCTCCCGGACAGGGAAGTGGAGGAGCTGGTGTCCAAGGCTCTGAGGGTGCGCCTGCCATTTGAGAGCGTGCTGCGGCTGGAGGCAGGTGAGTGAGAGAGACCAGGGGGGAATGAGAGCAGGGGAAGCAGAAGGGGAGCAGGGGGTGGTCAGAACTGGGAAAGGCTGTATCGGGGCTTGGGAGTGCGGTAAGGTAGGTAGAGTGTGTCTCCAAGAGAGGCCCTGAGGGTGCGCCTGCCTGTAGTGAGGTGCATTTTGAGGCGCCTCAAAATGCACCTCACTACACGCGGGTGGTCAGAACTGGGAAAGGCTGTATCGGGGCTTGGGAGTATGGTAAGGTAGGTAGAGTGTGTCTCCAAGAGAGGCCCTGAGGGTGCGCCTGCCGTTTGAGAGAAGCAGGTGGGAGAGGGACGGGGGGTGGTTGGGACAAGGGACGGTCAGGACTGGGCGAGGTCCTATCTGGGCTAGGGAATAGCTGGGAATGTGAGAGGGACGAGGGAAAAGGCGAGACAGGAGGCGCAGGCTGCCGCAGCTTGCAGAGGCGTCGAGCCAACCATGTCGTTCCAATGCTTTCGTTCCATTCCCCCTTTCTTAAACACCAATGTACCGTACCCCCTTTGCAGAGTACGACCAGCTGGCGGGGGAAGCGGCGGTGGCAGCACAGGAGGTGCAGGCAGCAGCAGAGGCGTCAAATCAACTATGCCTTGCTCCTGATTTCCACGCTGCCCCTTGAACGCCCATCTTCTGCCCTCTGTGCAGAGTACGACCAGCTGGCGGGGGAAGCGGCAGTGGCGGCACAGGAGGTGCAGGCAGCAGCAGAGGCGAGTGAGGTGGCTGCAGAGTCGTGGGAGCGCGACAGGCAGGAGATGGAGGGGGAGCTGCTGCACGCGCTCGAGGTGAGATGCCTTGGTGTCTGGCAGTTGTATGACTGGTGCTGCCTTGGTGTCTGGCAGTTGTATGACTGGTGCTGCCTTGGTGTCTGGCAGTTGTATGACTGGTGCTGCTACTGTCTTGAGGCGTCTCAAAACCCGTGTCTCTGTCCTCTCTCCCAAATCCCACGTTCCCACTCCTTCCTGCCGCCACCAGCTACTGGGTTCACCTCAGACATACCTCTCAGCGCTCCTCTCTCACTTCAAGACTTGAAACGTCTCATGCCCCCGGCCTTACTCCTTCCCCCTCTCCCAACCACCCCCCTTCCCCCCATCAGCTACTGGGTTCATCCCAGACATACCTCTCGGCGCTCTTCGCTCACTTCAAGGCTGTGCAGGCCCGTGCCGGCCCCACCAGACAGCTCAGCGCTGCTGCTGCTGGTGCTTCCAACCCTGATGTTTCCAAGTCTGACCCACTGGTTGCTGCTGGGTCTGCCGAACCTGCTCCTTCTGAGCCTGCCAAGTCTGCCACTGCTGGGTCTGCCGAACCTGCTGTTGCTGAGTCCGCCGAACCTGCAATTGCTGAGTCTGCCGAAACTGCTGCTGTTGAATCTGTCGAGCCTGCCGCTGCTAAGTCTGCCGAGCCTGCCGTTGCGGAGTCTGCCGAACCTGCCGCTGTTGAATCTGCCGAACCTGCCACTGCTGAGTCTGCCGAGCCTGCTGTTGCGGAGTTGTCTGCTGAGCCTGTTGCTGCTGAGACTGCCGAGCCTGCCTCTGCTGGTTCTGCCGAACCTGCCGCTGCTGAGTCTGCCGAGCCTGCTGCTGCTGCTGAATCTGCAGAACCCGCAGCTGCCGAGTCTGCCGAACCTGCTGCCGCTGAGACTGCTGAACCTGCTGCTGCTGAGTCTGCCGAACCTGCTGCTGCTGAGTCTGCCGAACCTGACGTTGCTGAGTCTGCCGAGCCTGTCGCTGCTGAGTCTGCCGAGCCTGCCGCGGCTGAGTCTGCCGAACCTGCTGCCGCTGAGTCTGCTGAACCTGCTGCTGCTGGTTCTGCCGAACCTGCCGCTGCTGAATCAGCCGAGCCTGCTGCTGCTGCTGGGTCTGCTGAACCTGCTGCCTCTGAATCTGCCGAACCTGCTGCAGCTGAATCTGCCGAACCTGCCCCTGCTGAGACTGCCGAACCTGCTGCTGCTGAGAGTGTCAAACCCACTGCTGCTGAGTCTGCCGAACCTGCCGCTGCTGAGTCTGCCGAGCCTGCCGTTGCTGTGTCTGCAGAGCCTGTTGCTGCTGCGACTGCCGAGCCTGCCTCTGCCGAGCCTGCCTCTGCCGAACCTGCCGCTGCTGAGTCTGCCGAGGCTGCTGCTGCTGCTGAATCTGCCGAACCTGCCGCTGCTGAGACTGCCAAACCCGCTGCTGCTGAGTCTGCCGAAACTGCCGCTGCTGAGTCTGCCGAGCCTGCTGCTGATGCTGAATCTGCCGAACCTGCTGCCGCTAAGCCTGCCGAACCTGATGCTGCTGAGACTGCTGAACCTGCTGCTGCTGAGTCTGGCGAGCCTGCCGAACCTGCTGCTGCTGAGTCTGCCAAAACTGCTGCTGCTGAGTCTGTCGAGCCTGCCGAACCTGCTGCCGCTGAGTCTGCCAAACCTGCCATTGCTGAGTTTGCCGAACCTGCCGCTGCTGAGTCTGCCGAGCCTGTCGCTGCTGAGTCTGCCGAACCTGCTGCTGCTGAGGCTACCAAGCCTGCTGCTTCTGAGTCTGCTGAACCTGCAGCTGCTGAGTCTGCCGAACCTGCCGCTGCTGAGGCTGCCGAGCCTATCGCTTCTGAGTCTGCCGAACCTGCTGCTGCTGAGTCTACCAAGCCTGCTGCTTCTGAGTCTGCCGAACGTGCAGTTGCTGAGTCTGTTGAGCCTGCCAGCAATGAATCGGCACAGATAGTTGCTGTGGAGTCTGCCGAGCCTGCTGCCGCTGATTCTGCCGAACTTGTCGCTATTGAGCCAACCGAATCTGCCACTGCTGAGCCTGCCGAACCTGCTGCTGATACTACCAAACCTGCCACTGATGATCCTGCCGAACCTGCCGCTGTTGAGCCTTCTAAACCTGCTGTCTCAGAGTCTGCCGAGCCTGCGGTTGCCGAGCCTGCGGTTGCCCAGCCTGCTCAGCCTGCTGAGCCTGCTGCCGATTCTGTGGAACCAGCATCCAATGCTCTGCCTGCCTCTTCAGAGGCACTCAATCCTGATTCTCAGCAGACAGGTCCTCAAGCTGCTGCCCCTCAAACTCACCCAGTCTCGCTTCCCTCAGACTCCAAATCCTTCTCCCTTCCCGACCTCCCACCTCTTCCCGAGCCTCCGACTCCTCCCGAACCTGCCCAGCCTCGGCCGCTGGTGGTTCGGATCCCGGGCCTGGAGCCCGGAGCTGACATCAGCAGCATGTCCACCGCCGCTTTGCTAAGCGCGGTGGCGACGCTTAGGAAGCAGAGGGCAGCAGCGGAGGCGGCACTTATGGCAGCAGAGCAGCAGCTTATGGAGTGTATCAGGAGTGATAATGCAGCGATTGATGCATGCCTGAGGGGGCAGGCTATGAGGGCGAGGAAGCGGCAGTTGGTTGGGCGCAAGGGAAGTGGGTCTGGTGTGGGGTGCTGAATGGTATATTTTGCATTGACCCAAGGTGTACCTCAGGAGCGATAATGCAGTGGTAGATGCGTGGCTGAGAGTGACACATTGCAACTCGAATGTTAAGGGCTTTTTACAATGTATACAAGTTGGAAGCTCCAGGTGGGGAGGAGAGCAAATGGGGTGATGGTGATGTGAGATTGCTGGGTTTCAAGTTGACTAAGTTATTGCTATGTTTCTGTTCAGAATGCCAAGCCTATTACCAGTATCCCCATTCTGTTTTGTTCAGTTCGTCACACTGTACTCATGTATCATGCTTCGTGAGAGTGTGCTGCTGGAGATGTTTTGCTCTTGTCGACTGTATTGTACCAGCTTCATAGAACCTTACTCGTTACTTGCCCACCAGTTAGGGAACGAGAAGGTGTTTCCAGACAGTCCCATTCTGTTGTCAATTCTTGCCAAAGAGTACCAGGGGAGCATCCTCCCATGCAAAACAGCTAAGGGGACAAAAGCAAAAGTGGGGTGCTCCGAGAATCGAACTCGGGACCTCTCGCACCCGAAGCGAGAATCATACCACTAGACCAAGCACCCAATGTTAATGACGTTCCTGTAATAACTATATACCAAAACTAGTAGTTGTAGCTTCACCTTGAAGCCTCTTTTCATGATTATCCTTTCCCGCGATCTGACCAGACACCATGAAGCGACGAGCCGGCAGTGCGAGCAACTCTCGCGCGCGTAAGAAGCGCGATCAGGGAGAGGCGGTCGACCCTCTTCTCCTCGCCTTCAGGTACTTCCCGCCGTAGCTCTAACCTCTCCTGCATTTTCTCTGTTTCCTCTGTTTTTTATATTTTTTATAACATAATATCTCGCTCTGACACGCCTTTTATGTGCGACGTTTCCAATGTCACTCTGATTGCCGGTGCGTGCAGGGAAATAGCAACCACCGTTACAGTCACATCTAAGCAACGCGACATCGCATTCCGCGTGTCGTCTCCCGTCTGCCATGGCTGTCGAGTCAACTCCAAGGATAACCCCAACTGTTTCTGCTGCCTCGCCCCGCTTCCCGGAACCTTCCGCAAACGCGGCTTATGGCGGAATATTTCGAACCATACGCGTGAGACAGACGATCTTTCCGCGGAACTTCGCGAATCCACGTCATCCCCCGTAGGATTGACCAATCTCGGCGCGACCTGCTACATCAACAGCATCCTCCAGTGCTTATATCGAATCCCGGGTTTCCTGCGCGGATTCTTCGCCACGGATGACGTCACCCTACGTCAGCACCCGGTCCTGTTAGAGTTAGCTCGCATTTTCGTCAATCTGACGGTTGGCTGCCGGTCAGTGGTGAATCCGTCAAAGTTGACGGACGTCCTTCAGTTAGACAGTGACGTGCAGCAGGACGGTCAGGAATTTATGAAACTCTTTCTCTCCCTCCTAGAATCCCTCCTCTCCTCCTCCTCCCTTTCCTCCTCCCTCCTTTCCTCCTCCTCTAACGCATCTTCCATCCTTGTACCCTCTGCCAATGGGCCAGCCAATCCCGTGCTGCCAGGTGGCTTTCTGGCGCATCTGTTCCGAGGGACGTACTCCTATGTGACCACGTGAGTGGCTTGTGCTTGCCACGTGAGTGGCTTGTGCTTGCCACGTGCAACCCTCTGTTGCTTTGCCTTAAAGCATGTGTTAGCACGTGTGCCTGTTTGCTCAATCGTGTTGTAAACCCATCCTTCCACCACATTATTCCCCACCCCATCACGCCACACCCCACCCCACCCCACTCCACCCCACCTCACCCCACCAGATGCTGCGAGTGCGGACAGCCGTCAGCCTCGTCCTCCCGCCTCGTTCCCTTCTATGAGCTCGAATTGCCCTTGCACACTCCAGCACAATCATCAGCACCACCAGCAGCGCCTCCCCAGAAGAAGGGACCTCTCAAACGCAAGGCCAAGGGAGGAGCAGCAGCGTCAGCAGCAGCAGCAGCAGCAGCAGCAGCGGCAGCAGCAGCAGCAGCAGCAGCGGCGGCAGCAGGGGAGAGGGCCGGTGTGTCAGTGCAGCAGTGTCTTGAGCGTTACACAGCAGAGGAGCGGCTGGAGGGTGGTAACCAGATGTGCTGCGAGCAGTGTGGGCGGAAAACGGACGCCACAAGGAGGGTGTGCATTCGCGGCGTGCCGCCCGTGCTGAACCTGCACCTCATGCGCTTCGTATTCGATGCTAAGGTAGGTTAATATGGGGGTGATGAGCTTGTTAGGGTGGTAAGTAGATGTGCTGCGAGCCGTGTTTGATACGGGAGGGTGTGCATGCGTAGCGTGCCACCCGTATTGAACTTGCACCTCATGCGCTTCGTGTTTGATGCCAAGGTGTGTCACGTGTGTAAGGTGGTACAGCTGTCCAAATGTAAGATTAGAGTACCATGATGTCGTCTCAAAGGCAACTGACTGAACAATAAACAACCCCAAACCCTGATTACGGAGTCGTCTCAAAGCAACTGTGTATCTGTGTTTATATGTGCTGTTGTGTCCCCACACAGACGATGAGCAAGAAGAAAGTCACATCAGGGGTGCGCATTCCTCTCACTCTCGACCTCTCACCGTACGTTCAACCTAGTGTTGATTCCTTCAAAGAAGCAGGCGGGCCTCTGGCAGAAAAACCTGCAGAAGCAGCAGCAGCAGCAGCATCAGTAAGGGCAGGAGGGGAAGGGGTTGGAGGAGGGGTGGGAGGAGCAGGGGTAGAGAGTAAAGCAGGGGGGTGTGCTGCCGGTGATGAAAATCCAAGGGTAGGGAAGCGAGGCGGTAGGAGGATTGGAGATAGAGGGGAAGAGTCCAGGCAATGGGGCGGAGGAAAGAGGCGAGGTATTGCAGCAAGAAGGGGAGGAAGAGGAGGAGGGGAAGAAGCGGGAGAAGGAAAGAAAGAAGTGGGAGAAGGAAAGACAGAAGCTGGAGAAGGAAAGGCAGAAACAGGGGAAGGAAAAGCAGAAGCAGGAGAAGGAAAAACAGAAACAGGGGAAGGAAAGACAGAAATAGGAGAAGAGCAAAGAACAGCAGAAGATGCAGCGGAAGCTAGTCAGAAGACGTCCGAGCCTCCTAGACCTAGTCTTAAGTACCAGTTAGTAGCGATTCTGCAGCACAAGGGCAGCCAGGCGTCGTGCGGGCACTATGTGGCTCATGTGAAGGACGTGCGGAGTGGGCAGTGGTGGCTTTTTAACGACGAAGAGGTGGTGCGACTGGGCCGACACCCCATGGGGGAGGAGAAAGGTGGGAAGAAGGGGGAGGGGAAGGGGGAGGGGAAGGGGGAGGGGAAGAAGGCTGAAGTGGGGACTGAGAAAGGGGCTGTTGAGGTGTCTCGAGACGCGCATGTGAAGGACGTGCGGAGTGGGCAGTGGTGGCTTTTTAACGACGAAGAGGTGGTGCGACTGGGCCGACACCCCATGGGGGAGGAGAAGGGGGAGAAGGGGAATGAAAAGAAAGTTGCGAAGGGTGCTGAGAAGGGGGTTGAGGAACGGGTTTTTGAGGTGTCTCAAAGTGCAAAGGGTGAGGTGAAAGGTACTGAGAAAGGTGCTGAAACCTTGGCCTTTGAGCCGTCTGAGAACGCAATGTTGTTGAAGGGGAAGGTGGCTGAAAGGGTAGGAATGCAGCTGGTTGGGGAGGCGGTGGGGTGCGCAGAGAGGAATGGCAGGGATAATGACACCCCACTCTGCGATGAAGGCGGTGGAGGTGAAAGGACAGGAGCAGGAAGAGATGAAGCAGGGGCATCAGCAGGGGAGATAGAGACAACAAGAGAAGTGGGGGCAGCAGGAGAAGAAGTAGGAGAAGCAGGGAAAGGGACAGCAGGGGCAGTAGGGGAAGGAGCAGCTGGGGTAGGGGCAGCTGGGGTAGGAGCAGCTGGGGAAGGAGCAGCTGGGGAAGGAGCAGCTGGGAAAGGAGCAGCTGGGGAAGGGGCAACAAGAGATAAGTCTGATGGGACTGGTAGGCGGGTTGGGTGTGATGATACGACTGACTTGACTGGTGGGAAGAGCGAGGGGACTCCAGATGTCTGTGACCCTCATCCGATTGATCTTGACGAGGGAATCAACAACACTGATGGCACTGGCCCTCAGTCCTTTCAGGGCCCTGAAAGGACTGACCCTCATCCGATTGACCTTGATAGCACTGACCCTCAGGGGAATGACCCCCATCGGGTTGACCCTCATGGCGCTACTGACCCTGATTTGATTGACCTTGATGGGATTGACCCTGTTTCAATTGACTTGGATCGGATTTTAGACGACGTAGATGCGAAGAAGCGTCACCCACCTTCGCTTGGTCCGCAGAAGCGTCGCCGAGTGGGCCGACAACGAGGCCCCGAGTCGTTTCTCAAGGCCGCTCCTGAGATTCCACCTGAAGAACCACCTGAGTGCCCTGGCAAGGCGCCTCTGAAGAAGCAGATCTCGTTGCTGGCGGATTCCGTTGCTGCTCCACCTGGAAAAGCACCTGTAAGGCAACGGCGATCCGCGTCCCAAGCTCAACATGTGACAGCAACAAGCAAGAAGCCAGAGGCGGTTTGTAACGGTGTGCATGGTGCGGAGAGTGGTGGTGGGGAGTGCGGGCCGGGTGGTTCCAGGAAAGGGGGGACTGCAGTGAACGGTGGTCGAGAGGGGCTGGGGGAAGTGGGGGGAGAGGAGGTGACGTCAGCAGATGCATACATGCTGATATACGTGCGGGAGGGCTTTGGGGAGGGTTGTGGGAAGGTTGCTGATATACATGCTAAGGGGGTAGCTGCTAGATTAGCAGCGGATGCAGGTGGTTTGGAGTGTGAGGGGGCTGATATGGGGGATGCGAACTCACGTGAACCAACAGCAAAAGCACCTGATGTGGCTGTGAAGGCACCTGAAACAACAGCAGCAGCATCTGATGAGGCTGTCCAAGCACCTGAAACGACTGCAGAAGCACCTGATGCGGCTGTTAAAGCACCTGAAACGACTGCAGCAGAAGCACCTGACGCGGCTGTTAAAGCACCTGAAGCCAGTGCGGGAGCAGCTAAGAAAGAAAATGTATTTTTCCTGGGAGGTGACAATGTCCCTCTGCCCCAGTTCCTCTTAGACGAGGTGACTAAAACGAATGCAGCTTTTCGGCAGCAGTGTGAGGAGCAGAGGCGATGGGACGAGGAAACGAGGAAGGGAGTCGAGGAGAGGAGGAGTGAGGTGCGAAACGTGCTCTCTCTCATGCCTGGCGGCCGTAGGGAGGAGGGGAATCGAGTACTGGAGGCTGATGGTGTGGGAGGGGAAGCAGAGGAGAAGGGCGACGCAGAGGGGGGAGAAGAGGATGAGTTCTTTTGGATCAGCACCGAGTGGCTCAAGGCGTGGGCTGATAGCGAGGATTTGCCGTGAGTCACCACCTCACACCTCCCCACACCACCACACCACCCCCACGCCTTGAGTAGCCTTGCGTCGATTCAAGAGTCACCTGTAGTTCTTTTGGATCAACACCGCGTGGCTCAAGGCGTGGGCTGACAGCGAGGATTTGCCGTGAGTCACCACCCCACACCTCCCAATACCACCCCACACCGCCCCACACTGCCCACACCGCCCAACACCACTTTTTTGAGTTCGAGTAAGAAATTCGCCCACACTCACGGAGCACCCCTCTCCCCACCTCCCCACCTCTTCACCTCCCCAACTTACGCCTTCACTTCACCCATCTAATAATTGATGCTATTTTATTTACCTCCATTTTTTTCAAATATATATAACTTTTCTATGAACAAATATTTGCTCCATCCATCCCCCTCCCCTCCTCCTCCGACCCCACTTTCCACACAATATTTGAGGCGCCTCAAAACTCCTACCACCCCACTTTCCACACACGTTATATGTTTCCCATACGTTGCCCCTGTCTGCAGAGGTCCCATTGACAACACCCCTCTCCTGTGCCCTTCTCACGGCCTGGTACCACGAGCCTGCCTGCCTCTCATGAAGCGTGTGTCGCCTGTCGCATGGGCCATGCTGGTCTCCCAGGTACGTGTGACCCTTTTTGCACGTTTTACGGTCCCCAAATCCCTTTTTCTACGCTGTTTTCGCTCGTCTCCCAGGCAGTGTGCTGCTGCGAGCGTGTGATGTGAAGGCAGAGGCCCTCGCAGCAGTGCGAGCACACAGAGTCAAGTCACAATCTCACCTCTCGTTTCCTCTTTCTGCTTCCGTTTCTGTTTCTTCTTCTACTCCCTTCTTTTCTTCACAGTACGAAGGTGGTCCGGCCCTCTCCCAGGAAGCATGCTGCTCAGAGTGTTTGATCTCAGAAGCCCTGGCAGCAGTGAGTGCTGGGAGAGGCAACTCAACTCTCACCCTTTTCCGGAGATTCTCTTTCTGTTTCCCCTTCGCTTCCTTCTTGTGTATAACCACAGTACGAAGGTGGTCCGGCCCTCTCCCAGGCAGCATGCTGCTCGGAGTGTTTGATCGCAGAGGCGCTGGCAGCAGTAAGTGCGGGGAGAGCCAACGCAACTCTCACCCTCTTCCCGCGTTTCTGTTTCTGCTTCCTTATCTATTTGCTGCTGGTAATTGCAGTACGAAGGTGGTCCAGCCCTCTCCCAGGCAGCATGCTGCTCGGAGTGTCTGGTGGCAGAAGCCTTGGCAGCAGTGAGTGTGGGGAGCTACAGGGAGGAGAGGGCGCGCGTGCGACTGCTGGTGGAAGAAAGCATCAAAGGAAGGGCCCTGGAGGGACTGGGATACTATGTCTCCAAGCCATGGTGAATGCGTGCATGTGTGTGCATGTGCGTGCATGTGCGTGCTTGTGTGTGCATGTGCGTGCATGTGCGTGCTTGTGTGTGCATGTGTGCACCCCTTATTCTTCCTCCCAGCCTTCCCCTCCCTCCTCCTCCCTCCACAAGTTTCCCAACCTTTCAGTTTCTATCACCACCCCATTTTCCCTTTGGGTCGATCAACAGGCTTTTTGAGACGTTTCATATCAACACCCCCCTTTCCCGCCTCCTCCCATCCCCGCCTCCCCCCCCAACCCCTCCTCCCGCCTACTCAGGCTGAACAACTGGCTGAGGAGGACAAAGGCTGATGCCCCAACTGCGGCTGACTGCAACCCCCTGGGCGGCATTGTTTGTCCTCATCAGGGGTTGATGCCGGAGGGTAGAGGAGGGGAGGCGAGGAGGGTGGTTGTGAGTGCGGAGGTGTGGGGATGGCTGAAACGGTGGGCGGAGGAGGGGAGGAGGCGAGGAGAGGAGGAGAGAGTGAAAGAGGCCAAGGAGAGAGCAAGGGAAGAGAACGAGAGTGTGCAAGAGGGGGATAAGAGCTTGAGGAAGGAGGAAAGTTCGAGTGAAGGGGAGCGTTGTACCGGTAAGGAAGAGGGAAGGTCTCTGGCGAGCATTGGAGCAGAGACCAAGGAAGCTGCGATGACAGAGATCAAGGACGAGAAAGAAGAGGCAGGGGCAGAAGCAAAGGGTGGGTGCAAGCCTTACCCGGCTCCAGAAAAGGTTCCAGCATCTGCAATCACAGAGAAGGTTCCAGCATCTGCAATCCCAGAGAAGGTTCCAGCATCTGCAATCACAGAGAAGGTTCCAGCATCTGCAATCACAGAGAAGGTTCCAGCATCTGCAATCCCAGAGAAGGTTCCAGCATCTGCAATCACAGAGAAGGTTCCAGCATCTGCAATCACAGAGAAGGTTCCAGCATCTGCAATCCCAGAGGTCACGGACGAGAACGAAGAGAAGGAAGAGAAAGAAGAGAAAGAAGAGAAAGAAGAGAAAGAAGAGATAGAAGAGAAAGAAGAGAAAGAAGAGAAAGAAGAGGCAGTGGCAGAAGCAAAGGGTGGGTCCAAGCCTCCTCACCCTGCTTCTTCAAGTGCTGAGATTGCACTGCACAGTCCCGCGTTACTTCAGACGGGAAGTCACAGCCAGTTGTTGGAGTTCCCAGCTTCAACTGCAGAGTGTGCCGTGTGCGTGGCAGCAGCAGCAGAGGCAGCTGAGCAGGCTGATGCACTGAGTCTCGTGCAGCAGCAGCAGCGCCAACAATTCCTCCGCCTCTTTTCCCTCCGCCCCCTCCCCCTCTCCCTCCCCTCGTGCCCCACCACTTCCCCTCGCCTCTCCTCCCGCTCCCCACCCACCTTTCCATCCCCACCCTCTAAGCACGAGGAGCCTGTTTCTGAGGCGCCTCAAAAGCAAGAGGTCATCCCCTCACGCTCTGAGTCTGAGTTCCCCTACGCGCTCATCCCCTCCTCCTGGGTCGCCCTCTGGCGTGCCTTCCTCTCCGCCCCGCCTACTGCCACCAAGTCTGCAGCTGCAGGGGCTGCAGGGTGTGACGGAGGGGCTGTTGAGAGTTCTCAAAAGTCACTCCAATATAGAGGGGCTGTCACAAGCAAAGAGTCAGCAGCAGCTTGTCAGCAATCCCCTCCCAGCCTGGAGGGAGCACTGAGGGCCGTGCGGTGTCAGCAGCATGGGGGCCTGGTTGCCCCGCTGCCAGCACTGGTTAGCAGCAGGAAGGGCGAGCTGCTTCAGGCAAATGCAGAATCTGTGAGTATCCCTTTCTTAGTAGAACACACACATGATGATAGGTTTGTGTTTAGACGTCTCAACGCCCCTCCCCGTGAGGCACTGCAGCACCTGCAGGGGCAGCAGCATGTCAGCAGCCTCTTCCCAGTTTGGAGGGGGCACTGAGGGGCATGAGGTGTGAGCAGCATGGCGGTTGCGCCACTGCCGGCACTGGTTAGCAGCAAAAAGGGCGAGCTACTTCAGGCAAACGCAGATTCTGTGAGTATCCCTTTCCTGTTTTGAGACGTCCCGAAGTGTTTTCCCAGTTTGGAGGGGCACTGAGGGCCGTGCGGTGCGAGCATTATGGGGGGCTGGTGGCCCCGCTGCCAGTATTGGTTAGCAGGAGGAAGGGCGAGCTACTTCAGGCAAACGCGCGTCTGTGAGTATCTCTCCCTTAGTAGAACACACACGTAGCTATCCATTTGTTTTGAGACGTCTCAAAGGCCCCTCCCTGTCTAGAGGGGACACTGGGGGCCAAGTTTTTTTAGATGAGAAATATAGATTTTGTTTCCATCTGGTTATGTGTGCACCTGCAAAAACATCACTCATCCGTTTGCTACAGGACAACCACATAAATGTGCTGAAAATGAGGAAATTGGAGGAAGCGGGGAGGTCGACATTTTTTTGGCCAGCTGTCACTAGGAGAGAGAAAGCATCATGCAATCAGGGCTCTCCCATAAGCTACAAAGCCACCAGAGCTCACCGCACCAATAGGCTACGCCACAGCCAAGGCGCTGAAACATTTCATCTTGCGCAAGCTTGAGTCGAACCAATGGTGGTGGTGGTCCATGTTTCACAAACGGGCTTTAGGGCGTGACCCCACTTGTCCAGCGACCGCAGGGCTGACCTCAAAGGGAACCCACGCGCTGAATCCATCGATGACTCCGCGAGTGATGAGTCGATTTTTGAGTCGGCTCAAAAAAAGGCAACCCACGCGCTGATTTCCAAGTGCCTTACGATGGATCCATCGATGACTCCTCGATTGCCTGACGTAAAGAACCAATTCGATGTCGCCGTGGATTATACAAATCCCAGAACCAATTCGATGTCGCCAGCTGTCATTGTGAGAAACCACGCCACGAGAGCTCACAGTTTGTTGTGAGGGTTGACAAGCAAGCTCGAAACTGGAGAGCATGGCAGGCAGGTGGCGGTTGATGATGGCTGAAGGCACGAGGCGATGGGGTCCCAAGGGGCGTCGCAACCACCCCAAGTGTCCGTGGTTGCGCCCAATTGGCCTGAATTTCAGGCCCACGCTCGAACTATAGGTCTGCCCACTTTCTTACCGTACATCCATCTAAACATACAGCTTTGCGTGCTCCCGCAGCTTCCCCCACTACTCCTACAAGCTCTAGGCTTGGAAGACTTTTTTCAAGCGACATGGCTCGGGTGGTTTAAGTGGTGCTGGCGGCAAGACTGTGATTACTGCTGTGACAACGTTCGTAAATGCTTTCCTCAGCAAAGATCCTTCGTCCATCAACGGCAATAACATAGAATGGCAATCAAAGCATGGATGTGATATGCACTTCTTCATGACTTGATGCATGCATATCACATCCATGTTTTGATTGCCATACCATGTTATTGTCGTTGATGGACGAAGGATCTTTGCTGAGGGGAGCAGTCACGAACGTTGTCACAGCAGCAGTCACAATCATTGTGAGCATCCATGCTGCCGCCAGCACCACTTGGACCACCCGAGCCCTGCCGCTTAAAGCTCAAGTCCCAAATTACGAAGTGCGCAGGGCAAGATTACTAATCTTGCTCAACTGGCGTTTTGGGTGCTGTATTTTGGCGAATTTCTGGTTACAGTATGTACGAAGCAATTCTATTGGTCGAGGCCTAACACAGGGCTAAAACTTCAAGTTTCAGCTTTCTGCAATTTGGGACTCGAGGTCTCAAACAGGCAATTGGCCCCAGAGTTTGCTGACTCAGCGAAAAACCACCTGAGTGTTGCGAAATCAGGCAACGCGTCTTTCCCAAACCACCCAGCCCTCAGACTTGCGCAAGCTTACTAAACTTGTGCAATTTGGTCCGCGAGCTTTAAAAGGTTATTTTAAACGATGTTATTTTCTTTATTTGGTAAGGTTCGCAGAGGATTTCGAAATTATTGTCCATGTATTGCTTAAAAGGCTCTTTAGAACATAAGAAGAGCTTCCTGAAATGGGAAAACATTTTGTGTAAGTAACCTCAAGAAGCTCCAATGGATTCTGAAGACCCTTTCAAGCAATACCTGGACAACAACTTTGAAATATGTAAGACCTTACCAAATCAAGAAAATTAACCTTGCGCAATGAATTCCCAGGACTGTAATGGACATATCCAGCAGATTTATGTGGTTGTGAATTGTGGAATGAAACGATTTCGGGGGCACGTTCTGTCCCCTTCATCCATCCACACAACTTTTCATCCCTCTTGGCACAATCCCTCCCCATCCCCACACCCCTCTTTATCACTCCCCTTACCTCTGTACCCCTGTGACACTTCAGGAGCCCTTCACTATAGTCACACGGTCAGAATGGGTCGAGCTGAGCAGCCAGTGGGGCGGCACGCCCACCTCTGCCATCCGCGCGCGAATCAAATCAAATCTTCCCTCCAACAACCATGCACCTGATACCAAATCTTCACAAAGTCAGAAATCCACTGTGGGGAAGAGCCATGGAGACCAATCCTTCCTCAGCCCATATTGCCTGGAAACCAGCCCTCATTTGTGTCACATCTGCTACAAGAATCCAGAAGAGATCGCAAAGGAAGAGGAGAGGGCTATGAGGGAGGAGTTACAGAGGGGGGATTACAGGGAAGAGGAGATACTGGTTGAGCTGGTGAGGGGATTTGAGCCTCCTCCCTCTGTTGTTGCGTCTACGTATGGGTTCCCACCTCTAGCTGTGTCACGCCGGTTTGCGTCTGCTTCCTCCTCTGCTGCCGGTGCTGCTGCTGGTGATGCCGCTAGTACTGCTAGTGTTGTTGGTGATGCTAGTGCTAGTGCTG